TTCAACACCAATACCACCAGAACCATTTTTTTTTTCCAAACTAAGAGGGTCATGGGAAATTTTAGCTGAACCCTAGAAGTTTTGAGATGCAATAGCATCTGTTTTAGCACAGTGTAAAATGGCTGAAGCCAGAGTAATAGGCTCGTGTCAGTGAGATTTTAAGAGCTGGAAAACAAGAAAGTGTGCTGTGAATGGCTATTAGTTTGGGCCATGAGACGAAAATACTCAGGAAGGTTTCTCTGTGTGTGTGTGTGTGTGTTCCCTAGAAGGAAAGAAAATAATTTCATTTTCTCAGAGTATGTCTACTGTCACAGAACTGCAAAACTACAAATGCTTTTCAGGGAAAACTGAGGAGATCCTCTGTTTTTCATCTTACGATAAGGTGTAAAGATGTTGTAATGGAAAATGATATGAAGAAGCTTTCACTACAGAAAGTTTCCCTAGGAGGGAGAATAATGACCTTTACCCTGTGAGGAAAAACGATGACACCCATCATATGAACAAACCTTAAGGACCATATGTAATACTGAACCAGATATATGAAGCTTTGTAATAAATATTAACTTCCAGTACCAAATCAAGCTGAACCACAACTGAGAAGTGTGATATCACCCCAGCTGAAAGTGAACAATGAGTGTGTGAAGGGGATGGACAAAGTGTGCCAAGACAACTGACCTGCTAATCAAAAAGTGCAATTCACTTTGAATACTTCTGCTCCCTCCCCCATTTCTTTGAAAATCCCCAGGAGATGCAACATTCAGTGAGCCCTTGAGGAATGTCTGTCCTTTCTGAGAATACTCAGAAACTGAGAAAAGAAGAAGGGCACAAAGAGAGGAAAGGCAGTAAAGTATCTCCATGCCCCACTGTGGTGGGTTCACCTTGGCTGAACGCCAGGTGCCCACTCAGCTGCTCTATCCCTCCCCTTCCCAGTCGGACAGGGGAGAGAGTAAGGTGGGAAAAGGAAACAACACAAATTGTGGGTTGTGATAAGGCAGTTTATATTGATGCAAGAAGGAGAAAGCAAAAGCAGCTGCGTGCACACAAAGCAGGAGCCAGCAGTTAATCTCTACGTCCCATAAGCGGCGATGGTTGGCCATTTCTCTGAGACGCTGGGCTCCAGCACACATAGCGGTTGTCAGCAGGCAGCCAGCAGAGACAATGAGTTCCTCCGGTCCTGCTCCTTGCCTCAGCTTTTATATCTGGGTTGACATCATATGGTATGGAACATCCCCTTGGTCAGTGTGGGTCAGCTGGCCTACTTGTGTCCCCTCCCAGGAGCTCGCCTGCCATTGAATGTTACAGTGCTGGGCTCAGCAGTAGCCAAAACATGGATGTGTTATCAACACTCCCCTAGCTACCAGTGCAGAGCACAGCACTGTGAGAGCTACTATGGGGAAATAAATTCCAGCTCAGCCAGACCCACCACACTCACTGTGCTACTCAGAAGAAAAATCTGCCTGAAGGTCTTTTACTCACCTTTTTTTTTCTTGAGTGAATAGATGAAGTCCAATATCTCTGGGGTGTCAGGCCTCAGTCTTTGCAATTAAAACGTAATTTCTTTAAGGATAGCTTATTTTATTATCCACTTATTTAAACAGAATCCATGTATGATGTCTAAACTGTGGTATCAGCCAGTTGTTACTAAAACTTCATCAGAGCTTTAATCTTTATGACCCTTCATTCTTACAGGGCTCAAGGCACACCCATGGCATGACACGCTATTATCTCTGAACTGTTAGTGTTAAGGGCTGCTTCTGATAAATGCAATGAATTATAATCCAGTCCAGTACAAATCACACATAATATTACACTTCTTGCTCTGAGAAAGTGATGCTAGTTATTCATTAATTTCATTGAAAAGCAATTTAAAACAAACAAAAATAGAAGTTTTTTTTCCCCCTGATTTTCATTAAAACGCTCCTATGGCAAATGTCCAGCAAACTCTTAATGATCAGATGTATACAGAGTAGGATATTTGGTAAGCACTCCCCCATGACTAGACAGGATGTTGCTATTAGAAAACTATGATTCACCATCAAAGTAGTCTCTGATAATAGTTACAACACGTTTTGTAATATATTCTAAGCGTTAACTGTAATATAAAAAGTGTAATCTTTGTCTTCTAGGAAGTTTTGATACAAATGTTTACTAGGTTTAAGGAAATTGAGATGAATCATTTACAATTATGCAAGACCACAGACTATTTGGGTCACAGAAATAATCTGTTCAGAAGAATTGTTGGACAGGAAGAATGCTTAGAAGAATGCAAGTGTCTTCAACTTTTATTTAGTGTCATGGAAACAACTCTGTGTCAAGAAGTCACATAATCCTATAAAAAGCTTTCAAACGTGGGTACAAACTCTATACATCTAATGACAATGTATTTCTGACAGCCTGACCACATTCAAGCTTTCCTTGATGTTATGCTGTGCAAGAATGCTTGTTTCTACAATGCCTTTCTATTGACAGGTAGATGAATTTGCTTCTAGATACAGAGATGCCTTTACATTATTCTTATATCAATGAAAAGCAAGCAAACTACACAGGAGACTCTTTAATTTTTTTAATCAATAAAGCACATGGAGTAATTTTACAGGAAAAAGAAAATGCTGTGCAGAATATTGTGATTTTCTTTAAAAGTACACAAATCCCCTTTTATTCCTTTTAAGTGGTACAGTTAACAGCAGTACATTCTGAATATCTTCTCTGCTTTTATTTTCGAATGGTTCATCATCTATGCCATAGGTCAATTCAAAATTTAACCAATTAGACTATGTGGAATTCATTAGATGAGTATGACCCTAACTCCAGGCTCTCGGTGCCAGGTGAGATGAAATCCTTTGGCTTCAGTTTAAGGTGGATTCCCCTGACTCAAGCTCTGAAGAGGAACATCATGCTCAAATTGACTCAGCACAGGATATGTACTCAAGGACTCAGGTAAAGGGCGAGGACAGGAAGATTGTGTCTGGAGTAATGGCTCATAATAATGACCCAGAGTGAAACCAGACAAGCAAAGGAACATAAGCAGCTGCCCAAGTAGATTGCTCTACTGCAGATGCTGTTTCCTAAGTCTTCTAAAATTACATATGGGATCAGCAACCTCTAGAACAACCTTAAACTGAAGCAGGAGTGACCATTTAAAGCCCTTGCTCCTTTCAAGGGAAGTTCTATAGTACAGAAAAGAAGCTTGTCCCTTTCCACTAAGTTACCCACTTCAGTGCTGAAGTTAGGAACTGAGCTGGTAATCTCTAGTTACACACACAATTTATTACTAATTTATTTTACAGGCTTTTATGTCAATGGAAAATATTTAGCTTATTAGTTATTAGAATCACATTGCAACCTAATGTGTCTATTTTTTGGAACAAAATAGATTACATGCTGTTCTGATACTGTTTGTGCCTGCTAAATTTCAGCAAGATGTTCCTGATATTGTTTTCAGTAGGTTTTTCTATTGTGTATCATGAAAAGCAGTAAAATACTGCTCTTATAGCACTGTGTGGCTATTATGGATAAAAATAGCGATTTTACTAATCGCTTAGAATTGTGTAAGATTAATGTGCTATAGTGCTATCCCCTTTACATACTTATATGTATGTATGTATACTTATATCTTAAATAGATATTATAATTGAAAATATGATAATAGGACAGATGTGAAAAGGGAGAAAGCATCACAACGAAGAGGAAAGCAGTGTGGTTACATGAAGCTTATTACTGTTTTTACAGTGCAAAGTAGGTCTAAGATGAACAGAACACTGATCTTAAACATACTCTGCATTGATAAAATACTACTGGTTTATTTTTGCATAGACTTTATCTAGAGAAATATACTGGGTTTTGGCTTATATATTTTTCAGTTAGGCTTATGCTTTAAAATTAGACATGAAATGTCATAAGAAAAATGAAAAGCGTTGGTTAACAGCTTATCATAACTAAACAGTGAAACACTTAAAAATATGCTGCATAAGAATTAGCTGTGTCTTGCACAACTTTTGAATAATTTTATGAAGCCAGGAAAAATAACCTCATGATTAACAAACTGGATGAATAATAATAAATACAAGTATTTCCTCTGCTACCATAGACTTTCTAAGTGTGCATAGGTGAGTCAAAATTCCTTCATAATTCTGTTCCTTTACAAAACCATAATAGGCTAACAGCACTGCTATGCTTTTACAGAGATAGTGTTAGAAAAAAAATTACAATTCTGAGGCATTCAAATGCTATGGTGACAAGTGCCATTTAAATATTTCAAAACAGATGGGCAAAATCATACATTTTCTTACAATAAAACCTGCATCTCGCTTGGGACTGAAAACAGAGCTGTGAATATTAACTTATCTTTACAGTTCAGTAAATTTTGTCATCCTTCACAATGAATGAAGCAGGCGTTCTATCCACAGCTCCTCTATGTTATTTTTTTGCTTTCATTCATGTCTTCCTTCTGTGTTCAGAACCAGGGCAGCTGACACACCCTCTCAGCCGGGGTGCATTTTCAGCTGTGCACAAGAGCACAGCAAGTACGTCCACTGGCTCAGTGGCTCTCCCAGGCTCTGGAAAGCACAGCCACCCACAGTGTTCCCACAGAGGGCTTTGCCCTCTCCTCTGAGTCATACTGCTACCTTCAGCAGACTGCTGCTATGAAAAAGCCACCTTTCCCACAGACACAGGAAGAAATTGCAAACACTTTCAGACTTAATCCTACTTGGCATTCACATAAGTCTTAGCCTGTCCCAATAACTACTCTCTCTAATTTAGGAACTAAACAGAAGTTACTGAAGGGTGACAGCATCTTTCAAGTGATGGAACACCTTCTGGCACACTTTCAGAGTTGTACTTGCCAGCATCTTCAACCAGGTCTATGCTCTCTTCTTAAAAAAAAAAATCTTTGTAAAATTTATTATTCCTTTTTAAGCTATTACTATAAAGATATTGATAAGCAAAAACATTTGGGAAAAGTGCAATGATTTTTTTTTTTTCCTTTCAGTGATATTTGTCCCAAGAAGAGGAACCAATTTTCCTGACTTCCCTGGCAAGGCAAAGCTTTTCTGCAAAAAAGTACATTTTATAGAACTTAGTAAGTCTCCTCAATATTTTCTGATCTATTGGCAACCAATACTGAGCCCCCTCATGGTGAGGCAGCATCACACTTTGCCAGCATGCCTCATTTTTCTTTTGTTAATTTTGTGTGACTGCAAGTAATATAGGAAGCTCTCAAGGACAAGGCACAGCAAAGTGCCCCAGGGAGACAAGCACACAAAAGAAAGGAGGAAACTAAATGATCTAAATAGAAAGAAAAAATTTCTTAAAGAAACATTTTGCTATCTACATTTCAGTGTATTCTCATATAAACTTTTAATCTTTCACAAAAATAAACATCATTTTTAAGTGCTTTTGGTATGCAAATTCTGCATCAATTTTTAAACTCATAAGTAATAACGATGAGGTGTGACTTATAATACTAGAAGAAGCTTGCCAGTGCTGAATTTTCTATCTGTGCTCTTTTATTAACTATCATTTTGTACACTTTAAATTCATTGGATTAAATAGCTACACACTAAATTTACAGTGACAGTTTATAAAGCACTCTCCTGGCTACTCCAAGATATACAGCAAGAGTCAAACTTTCAGGGTGCTTCTAAACATCTTCTGCATAAATATGGGTATTTCTACTTGCAGATACAGTTGTGCTCCTGCTTATTTGAATACAGTGTGCAATCAGATGGGCTTGACTGTTTGTGCATACATTTTTAGGCCTGCCAAAAATCTGTTTCAAGTTCAAACAGTTATTTAACGGGTCAATCCTTTATGGTCCACTTGACCATAAATATCTCTTCCTTGGAGTATCCTGGGTTCAGCGGGACATGCTACAGTAGGCAGAAGGAGAAATCCAAGAAATCCAATTTCAGTAATTTTCATGCAAAATTCTGGAGGTGCTTCTGTCTTCTGAATTGTCATTGCATCAGCTATCATACAGTATTTGGTGCACTCAAAGTTTGCATATTCTGCCTTGTGAACTGACAGTCTGCTTTCACAGAACTGACATAAGAAAGAAATTCTGAAAATGATGCTTTTTCCTTTCCAAAATGGTAAGGTGATAAAAAAGACTGGGATTGCTACACACAAGCTGAATTCTTGTGTAATTTGGAATAATAAATGATCCCACGTAAAAATATGATGACACATTTTCCGTATTAAAAAATGTTAGAATCTTTGAATTCAGTTACTCTCCAAAAATGAGTAGCACTTGAAAGTATATTCTTGAGTATCACAAAATGCCATAAGGTTGTTTATTCTTTCTTTGCATTATTCCTTTGCATGTGTGCTTGATTTCCTTCTTGTTTTTCTACTTCTAGGGTTTTTTTTAATGCACCAGAGTTTAGAAAACATTGTAATCACTGCACCTAAGTTTATAATTCTACAGTAACATTTTGGAGGCAGACCTGAGCAAAAATTTCTGTGCTTTGTGGTTTTTCTTTTCATTTCTCCATTTTCTTCTTTAGAGGCCTTTTGAAAAATCCAGCCTGCAGAAAAGGAAAAAGTGACTAAGAACTGTTCAAAACATAGAATCCATATTGGTCACATTCATGTCCTGGTTCTTACTACTATTTTAATACTTTCAGCACAGTAAAAGTTATTTAATAACTTTTCATTGAACTATGACATTGTTTTTGTTGGAAAGGAAAAACTAAAGAGATATGTCATGAACCAGACAAAAGAGTACAGTTAATATATAGTAGAGCAATTGCTGAATCATTATTATCCTCACTCAAAGGTTAAAATGCTTAATAATAATATTTGGTTCTCAGTTAATTATGGAAGAGATTATGCATGTTTAAATTTATAAACTGTAACCTTCTAGCACAATTATGAACTAAATATTTAGCCTGGAGAAGAGTGCCCACTTGTGGCAAGACATACCACAGACCTAGCATCTCTCGCATGTAGAGAAAACCTGATTATCAAAGGCCACAGCCAATGCTAATAGAAAAATCCCTTAATAAATCCTCACTCACACTAAAATATCTTCTTCTTTTCCTTTTCATAACATAATGGCAATACAGATTTCAACTGTATAGCACTGCAAGTTACACATCAGAAAATTGTAGTATTTATTAGTTATTTTGTTATTTCCACAAGATTTTATGCTACTAATTAGATAATAGTATTGTCTGTGAGGTTGTCGCTATAAGAAGGAGACCACAGAGAATTTAAGCCTATAGGTTTATTTTCCTGAAGACAAGGATGTGCAGCTTACCTTCCACAGAGCAAATATAAGCAGTGCAAGAATCAGGAGTCCGGCAAAGATACTCAGGAGGATAACCCATAAGGGGACTGTACCCGGTGGGAGTTCTTTGGAAATCTTAATCATGGTCTGCAAAGGTGTTCAGAATGTAAGCAATAAATAATTTGTACTTCTAAAGTATCAAAAGAGCAGCAGTGATCAGTATGCAGTGATTTTCAGAGTACCACTTCAGGAACTTGTAGAAAAACATTAAGAAAATAATGTCCAACATGAAAGCCTGTGTTCCATAATATCTTGCACTTTCTAACTGCATTCATGTCATGAGGGTGGCCCTACTACAAGTCAGTGGTCATTGTTATAAAGGATACAGGACCAAAACCACGAGTAGTGGAAGCATATATTAGGGAGTTTCTTTGGTATACTCTTCTTCACTCAGTGCCTGCCTCCCTGAGAGATGGAGCTAAGCATGAGTGTAAAAGGCTAATTTGATTTTAAACAAGACATATCTTGTGTAATCTAAACAGAAATAAGTAATATTCACATTTAAATATATGTGACCATGTAGGAGCTTGAATTAACTTCAGAATTTATTAGAGACCAAAAACGTTTATAGTTCAAAAAAGCATTCCTGTGAAAAAAGTTATTATGTTCTTACCTCCAGTTTTTGATGATCATTTCTCAAAATCAATGATGAGTTCTCACTCCTAAGTAATGCTTTCACAATAAGGGTTAAGCTGTGAATACTGGCCTGGAAGAAAGGATTAATTGCTATGGTTTATACGTAGATATTTTGAAATAGAAAGCTTTGTACCAATGAGAAGAATGAGAGAAAAACTTAATGCTTTGGGAGATGCTGAAAAACGTGAAAGTCAGTGAAACTGCTCATGTATGTCACCTTCAGCACATTACTGTTTGCAGACAGCAATACTGCTTTGAAGGGGTAGGTTGCAGAGATTTTGAAGAAATATTAATTAATCCTTGAAAACTATTATGGCCACAGAGACAATTTTGGGCTTTCTAAAATTCTGCTGTATGTCTCCTCCTACCCTGTTATTTTCCAGAGGAAAAACAAAAATACAAAACAGGAACTCAGTATCAGAAATTATTCAGCTGAGCAAAGTAGATGACAGCCAGGTCATTGTAACCATCGGAAAATACTGAGATGTGCTCTGAAGTGGACTGTCTCTCCTTTGCTCTTTTGATAATAAAAAAAAATCCTTTTTATACCTGAGAAATCTTTCCATATTAAAAACCTACTTAAAAAAATATGTTTTTCTATGTACCCTTCCTTACATATGCTGAATTAGAATCTGTGAATGCATAAGTAGCTATAAAAAAGGATCATCTATACAGAATAAGAAAGGGGTGTCTTCTTACCTCTACGTTACGTTACAAAAACTTACTTTAGGATGAGAAAGTACATGTGATATAGTTTTAAGGAAATTTTAAAATAGCAAAGGAAACTATTTCAAATACTAGAGGGAACACTTAATAAAATGAAAGATACAATTTTAATAGACATTAGAAACATTGGCTTAAGTTTTTCAAACCTAAATGTATTCTGAACACAAATAGGATTTACTTACTTTTATGATGGTAGGTTTCCATACTCTTAGTGAAACATTCACTTGATATATGTCAGATGGGACCAAGGCACAATTAATAGAGGCACAGCTATATGTGTCACAGGCCTGTTTTAAAGGCACCAGAATGAATTAATAGCAACAAACTTCTCACATTATTAAAATAAAAATATATAAACTACTGTATATACAGATCACTTGCTATGACACCAATACTAAACTGATATTCATTACTGTAGCTTTTTATGTAAAAGTGACACTGCAGTATATAAACCAAGTTGAGACATTCATGCTGTGGTAGAATAGACTCACTTTTTGCAGGTTGGCAAGGCCTGAGGAATCTCTGTTGCTGCAGCTACACAGCAAAAGGCATCACAGAGGTCTTAAAGGAGGCACATCCTGTAACAGCAAGTGTTTTCCTACCAACACAGCTATGGCTTTTCTGCAGTGTTTTTCAAATCATGGACACCTGAATCTTTCAAGTAGGGGAGGATGTGTGTGTGAAGATGTAAGTATCTTTATTTCCCAGTATCACTTGCTAGCAGAATGATGTTGTAACAAGTTGGAAATACTTGCTTAGTATTAAATCACTTCTGTGAAGGAATATGATAAGCATGGAAAAACACTCTTCCCATGACATGGTTTCATTTGCACCAGAAACTCCACTTGTACCTCTACGCTGAGGATGCTTTGCCCCTGACATGCCAACATAACTATGGCAGCAAAATTAATTTGCAACTCTTTCGTCTAAAAGTGAGAGGCTAATCCTTTCCAAATGGGATCATCATTTATAGTTGCATGGAAAATCTGCCAGATCAGAGTGTGCTAGCATTTGAACATCTGTTGAACTAGATGTCTAAAAAAGCTGATTGGGTGATCAGAAGCATTTAAAATATTACTATTTATTAATTACAACGGGAATATAGATGATGAAGATTTATTCAGCTGTAAAATGTGCTACTGTTATTTACATATTTTTTAAATTAAAAAAAACCCAAATCATCTAAATTCAATTCCACATACAGTTTTGTAGCCAAATAGTTAGTCTACATAAAAAAGACTTTTTAGGCTATTAAGACAAAATGAGTTTCCAAGGGATACAGTTTGAGAGCAGCTTTTATACATGTATTTCAGAAGTATTCAGCTCTAAGATCCGTTTTAATATCTGGGATGAATATATATCCTATAATTAGACTTACCATAATTGTATCCTTCATAGGTTCTTTTATTTTTGACAACACAAATGGTTTCCCAGTGCTGATCTTTAAGGGATCTACAGGGTAACTACTTTGGCAGATGGCATTCTGTTAGCAGAAATACAAATAATTATTGTCTACATATGCAATCTATTACAAAAAATGCTTTCAGAACAAGCCAAAATTAATATTTTATATTTAATGAGAATGATAATGTTTACTAGCCACTAAATGCATATTGCAAGAGTGCAGAATAAGGAATTCAGATAGTGTAGGTATTGAAGTATTCAAACAGCAAATGAAATTTTTATGAGATAAATCAACATAAACTCTCTGCAGCTACTTAAACATCTGTAGAAGCAAACAAGAGCTTCCTGCAAGATGACCACTATGAGAACCAGCAAGAGTTGATTATTAAAAGAGCTAAATAGCTTTAGCATGGGAATCCAAAGAGGTTCTGCTGTAGCAAGCAAACAGTCAGGTTAAGTGCAGGATGCAATGTCCAGAGAGGGGGAGTAGATCTCTGTGACTCATTCACAGGCAGCTTGGAAACTCTCTGGTGTTTTCAGTGTGGGGGAATTAATTTCTTTTCAGCCAGGTCATTGACTTTCACGTTGCTAGCATGAAAAGATTTACAAATCCCCTGCAGTGCACTTGCCACACTACTGTCACTAGGGCGTCACTAGCAGGAGATGAATTTTGCCCATACAAAAAACCAAATTTGTGTCAAATGCTGTGATTGCCTAGGAGTGAAAATAATGGAGGACAGGAAACAAGAAAAGATACAATTTTTTTTGTATTCTAAATATGATTTGTTTGCTTGTTTGTTTTTGTTTTGTTTTAAAGTAAACCTTGAACTTTTGTTTCTATATTTTAGGGTTTTTTTTAAGTTGGACAGCATCTCAAAACTAAGTAAAATATTTGGAGGGAGGTGTACTTTGTGTGTCTCTGAGCAGAAGGAAAAAAAAAAAGGAGGTTTAGGTCACCACTTGGTGATATTTGGGTTCTTCAGCCACCCAGTTACTGATAAAGCTCTAGTTTTAAGATCTACAGATCTAGAGTCATGGAATTTACTGGAACGTGATCTCCAGCTGCACTGGAGGAGTGACACTGAAAAACTCAAATGAGAGCTGCAGTGAAGAGCATTTGAAAGATATGACCTACCATCCCCTTCAAGATGTCTCAGTGCCCCAGAGAAGGAAGAAGCCAGAGGACTGCTAGTGCTGGAGAGCAGACATGCAGGAAGGTTAATTTCAGGAACCGAAAGAAGAGAACTGAACAGAACGTTGAGGTCTGGATGTACAGCAGGATTAGAGAATTTGCAATTCACACTGCTGACAATGGAGACAACCATATGGAGGCTCTTATCTCAGTCAGGACATCTCAGCACTTGGCAATATAACAAATTAGCCTTGTTATAGTCCAGTCATTGTTCAATAAAATTTTAAATCTGCATGTTTTCTTTTGAGAAAATTTGTCCCTCTGTCTTCTTATGCACATCTGTACATACTCTTAAAACACCAGCATCTTGTAATTTAGACTGAAAGCAATATATCTACCTTGACGCAAGGCATCTCAAATGTTTACATTTTGCAGTTTCTTGCAGCATAAATTTTGAATTTAAATTTATCATAAAAGTACAAATTCATAGCTTACTTGGGTATGTGACAATGCAGTAAGGTAGAGAAGAGTGTTCTTGGCTGCTGTTACGTTGGGATAAAAGATCTGCAGTGTGAGGTTTGGCATTGGAAAATGTTCACCTTTTTCAATCTATGAAAAAAGAAAAAGGTTTTGATTAGTTCTTTCCTTATTTTGTTAGTGTTTGATTGTGAGTTTTTTCCTTTCCTGTATTTTTATTTTTTCTTTTTATTTTTACATTTCCACAGACAGTTACTTTTCCAAGAACAGCTTCTTGTGAATTAGCAGACATATTCTTCTGTAGTCTTTGGTAATACAATGCTCTGTTGAAGAAAATCAAATTAACAGGATGAAAGAGGACATTTTGACATAAATTCCTTCTTGTTGTCTTGCTTACTGTATCTTCTTATCATCTGGGAAGATCATAAAATGTCTTTCATTTCAATATATAATAAACACCCAAATACTTTAACATAGGAGAGAAGCCTCTGTATCAGTGGTGGCTTCTGCTGGTTCCTCCTCAAATATGCTTAGGTAACTGCCCTTCCAATCACCTGCTCCTCTCTCCTCTTTTCTCTGAGACTCTTTCTGGGAAGGCTTGCTGCGGTTGAGGATGGAGAAATACCTAGGTGGAATTGCTGGCAGGGGAATTAGTGATCTTGTCTCTGAAGTGGCAAACTTAATAAATGCTTAAGAACCTTTTACCCTTTTTTCTTCTGGCTACTCATTTGCCCATTTGTCCACAAAAGCTTTGACATAACTGGATTTAAGCTTTTATACTTAAAAATGTAACTGAGTAAAAGACTGTAGGTGGGCTAAAAAATAAGAAAAAACCGCTTTGCCTTTGCTATTTAGTGAGAGCAAGAATTTTCCCATGGCTCGTTTTTTACAGATAGAAATTGATTCCTAGATTTTTATGCTTTTTGTATAGGACCCTTGCTCAGTTTTGGATTTTGACACTGGGAAACAAGGATGCTCTCAAGATAAGTAAATTCAGTCCTGCAGCAAATTTAGGCTGCGCTTTTAGTCACAGATTCATTGAATCATGGACTGGTTTGGGTTAGAAGAGATCTTAAAGATCATCTAGTTCCAACTCCCCTTGCCCTAGGCAGGGACACCTTCCTTCCGCTAGAACAGGTTGCTCAAAGCCCTGTCCAACCTGGCCTTGAAGATTTGCAGGGATGGGGCATCCACAACTTCTCCAGTGCCTCACCACCAGATATCTTCCTGATATCCAATCTACACCTGCTCTCTTACAGTTTAGCCATTCCCCCTTTCCTATCGCTACATGCCCTCATGAAAAGTCCCTCTCTGGCTTTCTTGTAGGCCCCCTTTAGGTACTGGAAAGCCACAATGAGATCTCTCTGTAGCCTTCTTCAGGTTGAACAGCCCCAAGTGCTCCATACTGTCCTTGTAGGAGTGGTGCTGCAGCCCTCTGATCATCTTTATGGCCCTCCTCTGGACCCATCTTAGCAGGTCCATGTCCTTTGTGTTTTGGGAGTCTGGGTGTAGCAGTCCAGCAGGGATCTCACAAGATACTTTGCAGTATTCATTCCATTAGGAAGACCACATTCTTGGAGCATGGCATTTGCCTTTTACAAATTTGACTCAATTTTGGAAATAGCCGTTCTGAACTGCAATGGGCATAGGCCAAATTCTCATTTACCAGGACATGCTCTCTTTCCCCAGCTGAGGATAGCAGCTCCAAAACCCACCAGAACTACGCTGCAGGAGATGGACCACTCTCAGACTCTCTGACTCACATTATTCCAAAGGAAGGGAAAAAAAAAGTGTAAAACACAAAATATGAATGGAGAAGGTTTAACAGTTTGCATACCTGCTATTTTAGTAATAGGCTATCACATTAAGCAATTCAAGACAAAAATAGAAAAAAAGAAGAAGATTACGCTAGTACCTGTATCGTACATTTTTAATAGTTTCTTACCCTATAATGTAAAGTAACTTCATCCCCGATCTGCTCTGTTGTGTTAATAGCGGTAGGGATGGTATCATTTGCCCCAATTATAACATGGTGCTCTTTGAAAATGCTGTGGGTTAAAAAACACACAAAAACCCCAGTAAGCACAAAAACTTCATAAAAATCTATCAGTTAATAACATAAGCCTTTTCATTATTCAATGAATTTCAGGACTAGTCTTGCAATTAAGAGTGCACTGCTACTTCCACTGAAGTGAGGAGGCCTCACTTTTTATTACATACATTTAGAATGTTTTGTTCAGATAAAACTACAAAATGAGCAAATATTATTCCAAAAAATAATCCATCAGAGTCTGATTTTGCTTTTCTTATTCTAGCCATGCAGTCCCTTATCCTGGGTATTGCCACGTGAGACAGGCAGCCTCCTATAAAAGACAGAATCAAGCAAAACCAGAACAAAACCAGCATGTTCTAAATCCAACCTGATTACCTGTGGGACAAACAAAGACTGGATTTGAACCATGAAATGCATCCAAAATGAATTTGGCTTTATTATTTACACTTGAAAACCATGCAATGTAGTTTACTAACAGTATTCATAAAGCTTTTCAGATATGGAATTTAACCGCATTCTAGCTATTTCTGAAAATAAAGTGTACTACAAGACCTGCACTAAAGTTTAGGTCTGAACTTGTAAAAACAAACTCTAAGAACCTAAAATTAAGAATAATTTTTGAAGATGGAAATCTAACACCACACCACAAAATATTATAGTGATATAAAGCCATTGCCATCAGGAAGCTGATGTACCTGAAACACTTTGAATTAATATGGCAAAGTACAGGAACAAAACCTGCTGTTTTACTTACAAACTGCAGACCAAATTTAAATAGATAATACTTAATTACAGCCAAATATGGGCAGTAACTGCTCCAATATTTATGTAATTTCTCTTTTCACTAAAGCCTGTGCTTCCTTTTTATGAGCCTTGAAGCTGTTGTCAGTAAATACTGAGCACAGTTCAACAGCTAAACAACACTATATTCTCTCTGAACACCTGCTATTTGCTGTGTGAACAAATAAAGTACAGAGAAGCATGAATACCTTACAAAGATTAATCCTACTTCATATTTTACTGGAATTGTAACATGTCCTCTGTTATCACTCAACGTCTCAGGTGGTTCTTCACTGTCACTAAAACAAAACAACACATGTCACTCAGATCAGACTGTTGCAGACGCAGCACAACTGCTGGGTGGAAAAGGATCTTAAGAAACTGAAATACCTACAGCTCTGATACAAAAGCATACTACTCATTTCCAGTTAATTCCTGTCTCCTAAAAATAAATTCAAAATACTACTTCCAATAACTGATAAGTCCTGCACCAGCTCCAGCTCATAAAAGCATCTTTGTTAAAATTACAGACTGCAGCTGACTGAATGAAAATGGGAAAATTAAGGGCCACACCATCCCTGGGTTTTGTAGGGACAATAAACACTGAGGGCAAGTGCATTCCTTTATTTTATCAGAGACTACAGCAATGCTCTTACTCTTTGAAGGCTAGAGCTTTTTGTTAACTGTGATTCATGCTAAAGTATGCCGTAATTTTGTAGGAGAATAAACCTTTGCTGAAGGTAAAAGTACCAGAAATTATGACTCATTTGTGACTCTCAGGTTGTAGAGGCTAACAGCTATTTATTTAGTCCACTCAATCCACCGCTGAACTGAATACATCTGTAAGGGTGCCAGCTCTATAGATGGCTTACCACTTCTGAGTTTAGAAGTCATCTGTGTTTTACTACAAAACACAAAACTGTAGAGCTTTCTAAGAAAAAAAAGATCAGAAGGCAAAGACTGCAACTAACCTTGTTGCATATACATGAATAGTAGCATTTTCCAGGAGATACGATGCGTTGAATTGAAATGATATTTTGAAGGAAATCTGTGTAGAGAAATACATTATGTATTTTAAAAGGAAAAAAAAAACCCAACACACTAACAGGGCTTGATATAATGAAAATTGTACAAATTTTTGCTACTTTTATCCATAGAATCCTTAGTCATGTTTTATCAGTTTTCTATGAATGAATCCACTATTTTGAATTTGTCCCAACCAAGAAGGAAATATAACAGTTATCACTTGCTAAAGAGAAGACTGTTTTCAATTTTCAAAACTGAGAAATCTCGGGGAAATAAAATAGAAACCTGTCTTAGATATTTCTTTATATTAAAAAAAAAGAGGCTTTAAAAAGAAATGGATTAGGAATGCTTATTAGTGAGTCAGAGATTACTTGATTTTTGATGCAAAGTAGATGGTGAAATTTCTAAATTTAGGGCTCTGTAGCTACAGGCAAACTAAGAATTGAAGCATGAAAGGAAAATATGAAAAATCCCGCAAAGCTGGGAATGGAACATCGTGGGCACAGGCATTGGATAGTATGCTTATTTGGCTGCAAGAAGGTAACAGATGACTTAATCTCTACAAGTCCAAGACACAAACTGGAATGCATGTGTGTGGGGGCAATGTAAGAAGACATATTTCACGATTTTCCCTCTGCATGACAGAGGAACAAAGAAGAAACTGCCAGGAAAAACAGTCTTTTTTGCATGCAAATTGATTTTTACCAATTCAGTATCAGAACTATCTAAGTACAGCTTTTCAAAGGCTTAGTTTAGCTAAAGCTCCCTTTCTATTCCAACAGGAGATACAGACATCAGTGGTGGTGTTCAAGATGGAGTTTGATTTTGAGTAGACTACTTGCTGGAAAGGCCTCTGATTCCTCACTGAGCAGAGGTGAAATCTTGATGTCTGACTTTGCAGATCCAGGTTAGTATTTCCATATACAAACCTATTGTCTCTTCAACAGACTAAATTTTATATACAAAATAACTAAAGTTATAGGTTCCAGGCTGCAGAGAGCCTATGTGTCATATCAGTATATCCTAACAAATACTCTATACACCTAGACACAGACACTTCTGGCCAGGTGCGTCACTTGTTTTCTGACAGTGTCAAGGATGGCAATACACATCTATTACCTCCTTACATACCACAGCTGACTGCCCAGGTACTGAATATCTGATGTTTTCCCATTTGGCTCAGTGCAGCTACCATCAAGGATAGTTTGGGAAACATGAAAGGACAGTTTTTGGGATGTACACAAAAGAAAAGAAATTCAGAGGTGTTAGGGACTGCCTTGGCTTTAGAACAATATGGGGCAAGGAGAATTTGCATGCAGGGGGACTTTTTACCTCTTCTGCAGGTTTTAGAAATGGATATCCCACTTTACAGGTGATGTTGTGATTAGATTCACAGCTATCTTTCTGTATATCCTACAGGGAAAAAGAAAGTGAAGAAAACTTTAAATTTTGACTAAGCATCAAGGACCTGCTGCACATATATATACCACTGCTGCTTTTCATTGTCAAAATATTGTAAGAGTCAAAGACTTAATTGAACTAGAAGAAAAATAGGGAGACACAAATTCTGCAAAATAATTGCCACCTATGGATATCTACATCAATTACTAGCCATTATTCCTTTCCAGCGATGGTGTTTGGAACACTTGGAATTACATGCCTACTGGACATCATGGAAATCAGTTAAGGGGTCTAGCACATCAACATATCTATAATTGCACAGTTTTAACATGCAGTTTTTTAAATATGTTCCTAACATAGCAATAAAAGTGACTTTTATACTCCATCAATTATTGCCACAAGGTCAGCAATAGTGCAGTGGATCCCTGACTTCTAATATGCAGCATCAGGACTGTTGACTATTGATTAGGAATTCTCCTAATATTTCTCACCTGAACTGAGGTGAATTTGTAGCAAATCTGCTGAGGCAGGCAGAAAAACAGCCCCTTCAGAAACGCTGTCTGATATAGAGACGATGCAGGCACGGATCTATTCTGTCCTATGAAGACATTGCTTTTCCTATACACATGCAAAAGGAGAATTCTAGGGACTCCGGGGTTCTATTACAAATAACAAGGCATTTCTGGCTCAGTAGATCTACAAATGATTTATGGTGCTGACGTTCCTCTAAGAGGCAGGCACTTTGTCCAAGTGTCATTGTGAAACTTGTGTCTGTAGTTAATGGATGAGGCTAGGCAAAAGCCTGCTCAGGTCAAAATAAATACTCTTTTAGAGCGATAAGGCAGGACAAGAGCCCTTCAAACCAACTGAGATGATGCCAGAGCAGTCAAATTCAGGTTTAATAATAAAGCTTCCTCAGATCTCTCTGGAAATATAGGTTGTGATAAATTTCATAATGTGAAAAAAATCCTACCTCAATGCCAGCAAAAATAATATTTGGAGAATATTGAACCAAAACTCTGGTATTATAGGCACTGTCTTTTTTGTTCTTCACAGAGAGCTGGATCATGAACTTATCATTGCGTGACTTTACAATGAATGGAGAAGAGCTGTAAAATAAAGTAAGAATGTTGGACATCTTAACTGTTGAATCTGTGTTTAACATAAAGAGGAACTTCTTCCAGTGTCCCGACTATCTTGTTTCTGACTTGGAAAGGATGCCACAGCATTATTTTACTAGACCACAGAATTTATAATTGACATAGAAACTTTATACAGATATCAAGTGATACAATAAACCCAGTGTAGTTACCTGTCTCCTGCTATGCTTGCTTTTACATTAAGAACAAGATCTGAAATGCATTTATTCTTGGCTCCACAATCTTTTGTGAAAGGAATCTGCAAAAATAGCATGTTTACTCTTAATTTTATTGCAATTCTTGTTAAATACTTGCATTTTAATGCATTATCTAATTTTATATAAGGTCTTCTGTTTGATAATCAGAAAAGTCTGCTCTAATATTAATCAGTTAAACATGCCAATATCCTGTAAAATGTGGTGAAACATAAGCTTTCTAATCATTCCCTTCTAAGAGATTTACCTAGATTCTGAAAAGAAGCATTAGTAGAAGTATGAATTATGCCAAACACCACCAAAATAAATGGCTAATATTCCCATGCTCTCTTCTATCTTCAATTAACTATGGACAGCTTTAAAACCCCAGCCTGGTTCGCAAGCACATTGAATCATGCTTTTTATTCCTGAATACTCATTTAGCAGAAACATATCCTAGATAGGCTCAATGACCCACCCTCTTTAGCCAATTTGTGGACAACAGTTTCGGCTCTTGTGTGGGCTACAGTTTCTGCCTTAAATACTTTGGTTATTGATACAGAATCTTACTAACTTACGTATTCAGATATTGAATTTGGCAGGTTGCTATCAAGAACAGGTCCACTCTCTGGATCAGAAAAATTGAACTCCAGCAAAACCTTTACAGAGTCCTGAAAGTCAGGCTTATCCTAGAACATAAAGAAAACAAAACTGCTGTTATGGACATTCAGTTTAGTGTCTAAGGAGGTTAAAAAAAAACCCAAACAATGCTGAGGTAGTATATTTTTCAGTCATGTTGTTGCCATCCTTGCTAGAGAAGCATCTGAGTGCTTGCAATTGATAAACATCTAACGTGCCAATCCTTACAAACATCTACTAATGTTTTGTGTGTCTTATTATAAAAAATGTCATATAGTCTGAGCATGTCCAACACAGTTGTATTTAAGAATATCTCAGAACAGTCAACTCACAGACTTTCCTCTTTAATGTGCTCAAAGGATCTGTAAGATGAGCAGCAGCAGTATTACCTTGTGTGAAATCGAACTTAGGCCTGGTATTGGGAGAAGAAAATTCTGTGCATCATTTATCATTAGTATTGAATTATGATACAACTGTGAAGCCACTAAACATTTTAATTGTGGGTAGCTTATAATATGCAACTCCATTCACTCTGCTCCTTAGGTACATTCTGGGCAATTTCATACTCACATTTCTGTTTTGCAGTGAATAAGTATTCTCTGTGCCCAAACCTAATCTGCAAGTTTTTTTACTATGTTTTAGTAGGAGGAAATGCACCAATATGCAAACTCTAGCTCACATGCACCTGCTGAGTTTTGAGTGCACCTAAACTACTAACCACGATAGCTGGTTGGTTCCACCAACTGTGGTATGTTTGTTCTTAAGAGAGACACAAATAGAGCCATAGGTAAAGAGACTGTACATATAAGTAAATAGTTTATACATGTATAAATAAATAAATCTAAGTGTTAAACAAATTTTATAACACTTCTTAAGATTAATTCCATACACTGATTTTGTTGTCCAATTTACAGTTAATGGAATGCATATTTGGGTTATGGTGTCAACATGAGAAAAATACTTTAAATGATTTACTTGCCAACATGTAGAAGTTATGTTTAGTACATTCTGACCCTTTGATAGTTATATTTTTTTGCATTTTCCTCTCATGGCTTTCTGTGAACAAGCTTCGAGATATCTGTCTTTGTGAGTCAAGAGTAATCCAATACTGCATACCTGCAAAGGAAGTTGAGATCAATATTAGGAACCACTTTGCCTCTACACATTCTTTTTTCTCAAAATATCTTAGATGCACTTTGAATAGTGAATTTAGAAAAGTTACATTCCATTTTTTAATTAATAAATGGATTCAAGCGTAGCAGTTTTATAATTTAGATATTCCATGGCTTAGCGCTTATCTACTTACTGGATTCAAATATATCTTCTTTTGACTTTAGTCTGGTCTTAAAACAAATTGTGGCATTTATACATATTGTTTTTCTTTTATTTATCTGGCAATTTTGTTGTTGGATATTGATACTTTTAGGTGTGAATTGCATGGAAACATTTACTTCAGCCACATCACGAGACCTTAAAAAAACACAAAGAAAGTCCTTGGAAATAACAGCAGCAACTTTTTTAAATTTAAGAATCAACTCACAAAGTGTGCAAATTTCAATCTTCAACATTCAAATACAGGTATAGAATTGCAGAATCATAGAATTGTTTAAGTTCGAAAAGACTTTTAAGATCATGGAGTTCAACTGTCAAAATACGTCTAGCTAAAAGGAAAAAAACCCCTTAACGTTCTTTGGAAAATAACAGAAGTGCAAAATCCACAATTGAACTGGGATTCCTGTGGCACATGGTGGTGGTACCATGCTGCAGTGCAGTTGCAGGCACAGCACTGGCCATGTTGTGTCAGTTAAGGGGCCATGTTTTATTTTATGTCTTCTGTCCTGGCTGTGTGATGCTGTGAAAGCACCTGGTAGTTGCAATGCACTTCTCTGGCACATTTTCGTTCTGCATTTGCCTTTCTCCATTTATGCAGACTATTACACACCTGCGAACTGCCATTACAGAGAGAACTCATCATACAGAAACAAAAAAGTGAGGAACACAAAGAGGAGGGAAAGAAATATCTTCAGCAGCCAAAACCTATAAAGCTGTGGAGCACTTTTAAAAGCTCAACTTTTAAAATCAATCAGGAGGGAAAACCCCTGAAGAACTGGGGACAAGAGCAACGTGAGTCTAGAGAAATGGGTCTAGAGAAGTAGTTAACTATATATTCTATACATAATACCAGTGAAAAAGAAATTACAGAGGAAACAGTCACAGGGTTTCTCCACACTGGTGTACTTGTTTCAGAACAGATACCAGGTGAAATATTTCCAAAAGCATTTAAGCAGTTCTGTAGAGCCAGTCCCATTTTATGAGACTGAAGGCCCAGACTCATCATCAAGAGTATCCACAGATGAACATAATATTATACATAAGCTGGAGGGCAGTGTGCCATCTCTTAGGTTCTGAGTAGATAAACGGGCTGAGATTCACCCCTAATTTGTTTCACTTTAACTCTTTTTAACCCCTTCAATGCATTCCTGTCTCATCCTTTGCTCTGATTCAGTTCCCTTTTGGCCATGAGATGCATTATGTCAGTGTACTAAACCAGCAAAAAATTTAGCTGGCAAAATAACTTTCTTCAGATTTGTGATCTAACTAATGCAGTGAAAGGGCATGACACTTTGTTCACACATGGAGCTTTTAGAAAGAAACTACCAGGTGAAGGTGAGGAGCTGGGAGCTTGAGGATGGTAGCAAGCCTTGACAAACTTTGACCACCTAGCAGGTCAGTCAGGTGAAACAGCAGGACAGCGAAGGCAAGGATTAGCAGTGGGTTTGCAAGTTCCATAACAGGGACAGAAATAGTTTTAGTTGTGCTTTAGAAATGAGGGGTTTCATATCATATTGTTTATTTCTCGTATCTCTCAAATATTGTATTGCTCATTATGACATCTGAATCATACTCTCATATAAAGAAAATGAATTCACTGTTAACCAGAAAACTTAGTTAAATTTTTCAGATTTTCTGTGGTAAGTCAAACAGGAGTTTTCACATTAGGAAATAAAATCAGTTTTCTTAGTGACCCCTTTACATTTGAACCTGTTCTTGATGATGTTAATAAGATAATATGCAATATACTGTGAAAAAAAGAACAATTAGGGGTTGCTCCTGTTTTACATAGTGCCACAATTAGAATTAGTTTCTATTTTGAAGATAGTCTAGGAGGGTAAGTTCTTCATACTAGGCTAACAAGGTTTCTATAACATTCCTGTATTTATAACTGTATACATTGTTTTATGCTCGTTCCTCCAGAGAGACTTAAAAAGATGAAGATTCACAGTCAGTGTCAAAGCATGAGACGAAACCAGTATCCTGATGAAACCAGTCACACATGCAAGTTACATTGGTACCAAAAGCAAAAGTTTATGTCCTGACAGTTGCTGTGAGTCTCCATACCAGAAGAGGGCAGCCCCACCAATGCCTCCGATGGTAACATCAATCAGCCCGTCATCGTTTAAATCCATTTCTCCATGCACAGACTGGCCAAAAAATTTCACTTTTTCCCCATCTCCACCTGATGCAATACGCTGTGAAAGGCGTAAAAAGGTTAATGCAGTGCACATTGGAGGGTTTTATAAGAGCAGTCAAGATGCATTTGATGACAGTGAGATGTGGTTTAGATGCTTTTAAGTATATTAAATTTTCATTACAATACTCCTAAAACAGTGACCATGGTGATGAACACACTATAAATTTTCAGATTGCAAAACATCTACTTTTTGGCTGTACAGATCACATTAGAATGTTTCTAACAGAAACAAGCAAATATATTTTCTAACACCATTAAGAGCCAGATTCAATTAAATCAGTATGAGTTCAAAAGTACAGAGCAATTTTAAAAAAGAAGCTGTTACAACTGGTCAAGTCACAGTTTGATACTAAGTTGGGAAGACAGGGTTATATACATTATATACATTAGAGAGGCTGGCAATCTCCAAAGTTTTATTTCATACCTGTGAATATTTTTTACTGATTGCTTTGCCACGGCCATGATAAATATAAACAGCTCCCCGATGGTCATCCTCTAAGGGAGAACCTACTACAATGTCATTATATCCGTCAAGATTGAGATCCTTCACTGCAGCAATTGCAGTCCCGAAGCGGGCACCACAAGGCTCATTCTTAAGAACCTTGCAGGTGTCCTGTTTTAACGGTGAACAGCATGTCTGCTTTACAGGCTCGAGACTCATCTGATATTCAAACTTTGTCTGTGAAAGAACAGATTTGCAGTTTGTGAATTTCCATTATTGTTTTAGCAATGCAGACTTATAAAAGCTCCTGTCCAGAAGACAAACAGATGAATTAAACAAAACAATTACATTCTATTCCTAGTGATTGATTGCACTGTAGAAATTGTGATTCTATAACTATAATTCAAATGTTCTTTATGAGCAGCGTGTGGGAAAGACATTCTTGCTTCCCCTCTTTCTGTATCTAGATGCTTCTGCATACTTCTTGAAGTTAGAGTTTCACAGGAAAGCATAGTATCATAACAACTTTTGGATGTTATTGTAAGTAAACCACTTCATTCTTTAGATAGTGTAAAGAGTTTTTCTAAAGGCATTCTCTTAATCTGAGAAGTTAGCCAAGTTTCTGATGAAACACAGATGGCAATACTGTTATTCCAGAATAAAAGATAGCATTTCTTCTACTTAGACTGAATTTTGCCCTCAGTACACACATTCACCATGGCCTAACATACATGATCTGATCCAGAGTGCATCCTAGACCAAAACCACACAGACATTATGGTATTTAACCAATCTTTCCAAGAGGTTGGTCACATGTGTTCCATGTTAGAGATTAGCAGTGGCAAGCAGTTGCTGTATTTCCTTTCTTTGGAGAAAATAAAAGGAAGCACAGGAAAGACAAATTTCAAACCCCAAATTGCTGGAGGACATGGAATTTTTGTTTTCTCACCAACTCTATTCACCAGCAATCTGTTGTTAGCGACATGAATGTAGAAATTGGAAGAATTACTTGTCAAATATATCCAGTATCTCCAGGTCCCTTTCTTGAAACAGTATTTTAGGAGACCATCATTGCTAAGACATATTTTGATAATTGTTATAACAATACACAATAGTGCTGGACTAAAAGAAGAAAAAAAAAAGAAAAAGTATGCATAGACATTGGAAGGAGAAACTTATAAAATTAAGAAACTGAGGTGTGGCTGCTGTAATCCTCAATCTAGTGGGACATGTTTAAAAGCTGTTGAATGTATGGCGTTTAGCTCTAGGTTGCTAAGCAAGTCGCAAGGAGACTGGAAATCACACTTTTAGGATGGATGAGCCTTACTGTTTCCTAATTTATGAAAGCAAAAAGAAAATGTGATAGAAAATTAATCCTATAAATTTGCATGTATGCCATATTGCGGCTTATAGGATATATGCTTATAGGATATATACATAATACAGTCTGATAGAAAGAGAGTTTGAGGATAAAGTTTTGAAATTAGTTGCCTTATAAGCTTAATTGTCAAAATTGTGTTTCTCTATTTTCAACAGGTCATCTTCCCCAGTTCAAATTATCATCTTTCTTTAAAATAAGGATATGAAGACAGTAAAGAGCATGCTCTACTCCTGATCAATAAACATCGTTCTTACCTTGTTCAGACTGTAAACATATACCTTCCCTTGCTCCTCTTTCTCAGTTCCCATATACATAGGAGCTCCAACAAGAAGAAGGTCTGTAAATGAGTCCCTATCGATGTCGACTGTGGTAATAACACCCCCAAAGTATGACCCAATCTGTAGGAAAACATATACATCAGAGACAGCAAAGTCATGCAACATTTCTTTTTCAGAGACCTATTATGGCTTGTTTACAACAATGCCAAATGTTAACCATTAGGCAGAAATGTTCTTTGCTACCTAGGAGATTTTCTTGGTTGGTTTGCCTTTGAAGCTTGTGTTCAGTTTTAGTGTTTGCTGTCTGATATTTTTATTTAAGAGTGGTCCATTCAACTTGCAACTCTTTTGAGTTTGAAACTTGCTTTGGGGAGTAGGGTGCCTTAAGACAGTATTTGAATAGAAGTATCTTAGGGAAGCTAATTTTCTCTTCAAAAAAGAAGCAAAAAGGCTGCAACAGAAGCTCTGAGACAACTCAGTGCAAACAGCATTCAAAATTGTCAAGTTGCCAGTAAATGCAGAGGTAAAAAGTCTACACAAAGAGCTGGATATGTTCATAGACTTGGTACAAGCTGTAGGATTTATCTGATTACATTCACTTCACAGCTAAGCTAGACACCCTGCATTTCCTTTACACTTAACATAGTCTCTTCTAGTGCAAGATATATCTCATCTCACAGAGATGCTTCGAGTAGTCCAGATCCATCAAACCTTAAAAATCACAGAATCACAGAAAGGGTCAGGTTGGAAGGAAGGACAGTGGGTCATCTCGTCCAACCTTCCTGCTCAAGCAGGGCCACCCCAGAGCACAGTTCTTGAATATCTCCACTAAGGGAGACTCCACACCCTCTCCGGGCAAACTGTTGCAGTGTGTGGTCACCTGCACAGTAAAGAAGTTATTCCTCATGTTCAGATGGAACTTTCTGTGCATCAGTTTCTGTCCATTGCCTCTTGTTCTATTGCTCAGCACCAGTGAGAAGAGCTTGGTTCAATTGTCTTGGCTTCCACCCTTCAGATACTTATAGACATTGATGAGGTCCCCTCTCAGTCATCTCTTCTTGAGGCTGAACAGGTCCAGTTTTCTAATACCTATTTGAGTTCATTAACTCTAAAATGATTGACTGATTAGTTGAGTTGCAGACATCAGCTATAGGTGAAAATTGGGTAATTTGAATGCTTCTGAGAGAAGCTAGTACTTCAGCCTGGGGACACCTGAGCAGGCAGGTCTTTCAATCTTCATAACCATAATATTTTTGTAATAGTACCATATTTAATTATGCAATTACATGTTGTTTCTTCTTCCTGCAGCAACAGCTCTCAGTGAGCTCCTACTCAGTATAACAAGCAACTGTTCAATATTTCATTCTATTCCAGCTGATGCTCTTGCACAGAACCCTGCTTGTCACAACTTGTTTCCTGCCAGTGACATGCCCTTCTACTCATCAGACAGAGAAAATTGCATGTACAGAGATGGTAACAAGCACTTTGACACTGGTGTGGGTTTAACCCTCAAAGAGAAAACTACCAAGAATCTCTGAGTCCTGTAGAGTCCACTTTCCATTGCAAATTATACTAGAGGATCTGCCTAACTTTTTCTTCTGATCTTGCTTACAAATCCCAGTTTCATGAGCTCTGCTAATGAGTTCTCATTTGAAATGCTTATTTTTATTTTTCCTGCCTTATTCCTCTTGTATGTTAATCACAAATGCATACTCACTTGTTCTCCATTTAATCTCTGAATTACTTGCACCTCTTTTCCTTCCATCTTATAAATGATAACTTGGCCAGTGTGATTGTATCGTGGCTGTCCTGCTATGTACAGTACACCTCCAGATGTCAGTGCTGAATTCACAGTATATCCTAGGAAGCAGAAAGAAGTCAAGATGCTGTACACACAGAATGCATCAGAAATACATGCTGTGATTCAGAGCATTTTTAAGGCTTATTCTACAACTAGATGTTTAGCCCTACTTACGCTAGAGAAAAATAGCAGAGTTAATTAAAAGGGCTCAATGTGTATTTGTTTACAGTCTCAGAATCATGAGCACCACTGTGTTACTAAACCTGTTCACAGGCTGGTGAGCCATGTTCACTTGGCCACTCTCACACCGTGTAACTATATGATGGTGGTGATGAAATGAATAGCTGGTTGAAAAGCTACTTTCGAAGAACTGTTGTCACCAGCTCACTGTCGAACGAATAGAGTGTTTCAAAAGTGATTCTGCTGGTATTTTGAACCTAGCTCTGTTTAATAATAACAATTTAACAACTTTGGTGAAGGAAGACTTAAAAAATGTGCAGATGAATCAAAACTGTGGAAGAGTTGCAAGTGTTATGGAGGATAGGATCTAAATTAAAACTGACTTTACCAAATTTGAGTTATAAAAATGCATTCTGCAAAGAAGACAGTGTACTTTGGGAAAAAAATTATTCTTGTGTTGATTCTTCATCAGTGAAAGTTTGGCTTAAATGAGGTAACAGAGCAAACAGAACAACGAGATGTAGAAAGTAAGACTGAGAGGAGAGGGCACGGCCACTGAAGCTTTTTGGTAGAAAAGGATGAGAGGATAATAGTAGCCTTCTCAATATGCAAAACATTATAAAAAATGGTGTTGGTCTTTTGGTCTTGTCCACTGAGTGACAGAAAACAGCTTCATTTTAAGCAAATATTTAGACTGAGTATTGTATAAGACTTTTTAACTATCAAGGCATAGAAAAACTTGATAAGAATACTAGAGGAATCTGTGAAATCTTCTCTGAACAGATTAAATGTCTCTTTTGGGAAAGACTAGATACACTTAAGTCTATGTTTGGATTAATTTTGTGATTGTAGAAGTAGAAATTTATTTTTTCAAAAGAACAAGAAAATCATACAGTAGACTCATTCCCAGGCTCCTAGAATATATGATAATATTCTATAAGATACTCTTTCTGATTGAGCTTTGAGAGAGGTCTTGTAGCATTTGTTGAAAAGTGTTGTAACGTGGGCTGTTTCTCTTACCTAGATAGGCTGCAAGTGGTTCGTTTCTCTCGGAAGTCCTGTCACGAAAGGTGTCATTAGTTGGCATTGAAATACCACTGTCCTTCACCATTAGCACTGTGCCATTCCAGTCATATGCTCCAACTGCTCCAAGCATGATCCAATCCTTAAGCAGAGAAAAAACAAAAAGCCTGCTGTCTATGTGAATCATCTTTAGATATTCATGGTTCAGGATGCTCACGTTTGAGTAATGCTTCCTGTATACTTACGTATTTAGCCTTGCTTTAGCCTTGCTTTTCCTATTATAGTATGGCCCCTATCATAGAATCATAGAAAGGCTTGGGTTGGAAATGACCTAAAGATCATCTAGTTCCAAACGCCCTTGCCATGGGCAGGGATGCCACCCACTAGATCAGGTTGTTCAGGGCCCCATTCAACCTGGCCTTGAACACTTCCAGGGACAGGGCTTCCACAGCTTCTCTGGGCAACCTGTTCCAGTGCCTTACATCCCTCTACTTAAAGAATTTCTTCCTAACATCTAATCTAAATCTCTCCTCTTTTAGTTTAAAACCATTCCCCCTTCTCCTATCACTATCTGCCTGTGTAAAAAGTCACTCTCCCTCTTTTTTATAAGCCTCCTTAGGTACTAGAAGGCTGCTCTAAGTTCTCTCTGGAGCCTTCTCTTCTCCAAGCTAAATAACCCCATCTCTCTCAGCCTGTCTTCATAGCAGAAATGCTCCAGCCGTCTGGTCATCTTTACAGCCCTGCTCTGGAACCGTCTTTCAATTGAAAACAGTGTCCCTTGTACTGGTAAAAAGTCTTTCTCCATCTTTCTTAACATATTTTTAGGCTATTCCTCTGATAGAAAGTGCTGTGGGACCATTAGATTTAGAGTTCATGTGAAGTATATACTTACTCTCTTAAGCTTTCATTGTTCATAACTGTTCTTTACATATTTACAAAAAACATAACTGGATTACAGGACACTCCAAAACTTCCAACAGCAAACAGGACTATACAAGGAATTCTGAAACACTCCAAATTCACAGAATCATCAGCAAATATCTACTTTATGAAATAACTTTTATTTTCAAAGTTTGTTTACCTGAGAATAATGAGCACTAAAACCAGCTTGAGACATTTCCATTTCAAATGAGGAGGCCTGCTGGTCTGTTGTGGCTATTAAACAGAAAAAATTGAGTTTCAAAAATAAATTAGTTTCAGTCTGAAAAAGCAATTGAAGAGTGTAATGAAAATGCTCACATGATAGTAAAGGATAGCATAAACTAACTAAACTATTGGTTGAATATAGTGTGCCACAGATTTTTATAATAAACACAGAAATAAAGAGCTATGTTAAATGCTACCATTAAGTTTGAGAGTTTCCATTTAAGGAACTTGTCCAAGAAAGTTTCTGGGCTAAAACTGACCAAATTTGAACTCAGGCTGATGGTAAGTATGTTTGGAATGTTTGATTAATATGGTTAAGCCATTTTCCACTTGAGCTAAGTGAACAATAAAACACCAGCCATGTAACCCTGGCCTTGTATTCAAGCAACTAAAAATTTGTAGGCAGCTGGAGGAACTTTAAATGAAAAACACTTGATGTTTGTATGAACCTCTGCAAAAACAACACAGGAAAATCTCTGCTGTCCAAGATTCATAAGCCTTAGCAAAGGGCTTGGGAATGATAATCCTGCTCAGAAAATTACATGAAGATGTTACTGATTCTCATAAGTGACTTTATAAAAAAAGGTATTGATAAGTATCTTGTCAGGTAGTCATATGCTAGTTATTAAACTCTGATGCACTGCTTTGCTCCCAGGTAAACTTGAAATATCATCAGGGAAGAAAAAGTTCTGCCTTTTCCTCTACTTAAAAGGAAGATATGTAGTCCTTAACAGTCAAAAACTATTCTGCCACTTTAAGTGACCAAGTAAGGGAACGACATTCTGCCTATTGATTATTCCTTGAAGGGAGCTATGAAATCTGCTCTGATTTTGGTCCAGGAACAGTTCACAGTTTGCTACCAGCTGAGTGCTGAAGCGAACCCTCACTTGTGTAATGAAACTAAGCCATAGCAAGCCATGGTTGCATGAATTTCAGGCATCTGGACTATTAAATAATACTGAACTTTTGATACTCAGCAACTAAACCACAGAGGTTGCTCCCTGGGACATGATGTCTTTGCTAATTGTGGGGAATTACAGTCAGACATAGGAAGGAGACATGAACTCAAACACAAAGTGCTTGACACAAACACAGATCATTATGTTTCACAAGATGTAGCTGCTTTGCTAAGTCTGAAAAAGTAATTTTTAGGCGTAAAACTCTTGAGCTGCACATCTGCTGATAAAAAGTATTTTCATTAAGTAAAGGATGCTCCCTAATGAGCTGAGAAAAACAGGACTCTCATAGCCTGAGACAGAGGACAATGCCAGTACTGTTGGTGTGTGCAGTTCTGAATGCTGCTTAAGATAATGGCCCACAGTCTAACTTTCCATTCAGTTTCAAACTGCCAAGCATCTTACAAAGGATATTTTGTGAAAAAACATTTGTGCCTGGCTATGGGTTGGATAAAACATAAAATTGCCATGAGACACAGAGGCATATGAAAAAGATTATGTGTAAAAATCCACTGGCTGTCAAGGATGGGTTTTTGTTGGATTTGATTTTTCAACTCTCTCTTAATTTTCCTTTGAATTTTTTTAAAGACGAAAACCAAAAAGAAAACAAGAAATCCAAGAAAAAAATCAAATGTACTACTGTACTAACAAGACGCAATTTAGATTGAGAATTTAAACAGACTCAGGTACTGATTTTCCAGCAATCAAGCCATCTGTGATGCTTGGAAGCTACAATGTATGGAGTCAATCAATCTTCTCCAATTACACACATTCAATACACTGGATTCTCACCAGAAAGCTGCTTAGGACAGAATTAATATGCTTTTCTCCACCACCAGAAAAATACATGCCTGGACACAGTTGTGAATTTAGAATAGCAGCTGAAAGGCTTTGGGATAAGACAAGAAATTATGCTTGAAGGATCAGCAGAAATTGATTTATTCAGCATCATCTAGCTCCAGCCCACTGGAGCAGCTCAACCTTGCTATGTTTTGACAAAAAGCTAAAATCCCACTTTGAGTTTCTAAGCTGATTCTTTTGCAGCCAGATTACATGATTTCTGGGACTTTTGCAGAGGAGGCAACATTTCTTGTCTCATATTGGTGGTGTCTTATGTAGAAACCTTAGGACATCTCTGAGTTCCTACAGAAAACCTGGAAATCAAGAAGCATTTTGGCAATGATTAAATTAACTAGCTTGTCTCTTATGAGCTGGATGAATATTCCACATTTTTAATCTCAAATATATATTTTTTGTAATACAGTCAAGTCGATATAAAATAAAAATTGTAAATAAGGCAAATATACCAAGCAATATATAAAAAATATCAATATCCTGACACTTTATAATAAGTCTATGTTAAATAAAAAGTAAGAATATCTAAGAAATACGTATTTATGACTGCATCACTTGCAGAAAATTGAAACTGAATTCAAGGAGTACTGCAGAACTTGTTGATAGTTAAAAGAGCTACAATATGCTCTATGTACCAAAGCACTGAAGTACATGATGATGAGGATTAGTCATCCCAAGAGCCGACAATCATATAAACACATAAAATTTATACAATGTAATCAAACAGTTAGTTTCATCACCATCAACATAACTAGATTTGTTTGGATATTTTATTAAGCTACAGAACTTGTTTAATGTGCAAATGTTTTGTAATTTTTTTCTTATAATTAGAGGAATGAATTACCGAAGTCAATGGAAGGGTTAGAGTTCACTACATAGCACCAGCACAAAGTTTAAGCCAGCACAAGTTACTCTGCTGTTTTGAGGCTGGGGTTTCATGTGACAGGCTGGCACTACCTAATGGCTACTGACTAATAAAAGGGATAAGGTAGAGTGTGACAAACTAAGACCATCCCTTCAGTGGTACCTAGTTGTCCAAAGGATCAAGCTATGGCACGAAACCTCAACTTTGAGAACGACAATTTCCAAAAACTCTATCATGTTGGGTCCTTCATCTGTTGTCATGACTAGCAGTTAATTAACTTTTATTCTATATTAAGTATAGCTAATAGATGTAACTAACATTTTGTTCTGATGAGGAAATACAAATATTTTTCTCACTTTTATAGAAGTATAAAGCACAAATTGAGGGGCAAGTTTCCAATTTGTGTTTGAACAACTATTTTTCCACTTAAAGTATATTCTTTCTAGTAAACAGGAACTTAAGAAAAGAGCACCCTATTCAATGAACTTTGAAGTACTCAATGAGCCTAAGTAGGCTAAACTTTGGGCTTTAGAGAGATTAGATTATCTTCAAATTAATTTGTTCCAAAGCTGAGGGAACTAAATCTTCCAGAAAGTAAAAAGAGAAGAACATATAAGCTATGTTTTAATAAACTATGTTAATTTGTAAAAATATTTAGTAATAGCTGAAAATGGTAATATTTGATCAAATTAAATGATAACTAAAAAAAAAAACCCCAAACTGAATGTCTGAGAAATACAGCTCCAATGTAAAAACTTGAAAATGCTCTCTCAGATTTGTACTATTTCTTGACATTCAAGTCAACATCATCTTTTGTTCCAGCTGTAAACTACACTATTCCAGTAAGTTGAAATGTTGAAAAAAATAGTCCAAGTAAATAGATGTTTTCTTTGTATGACATGAATCCCTTCAGAGTTGACCAGTATAATTTATAACTAACAAACTCCGTCTCCTGTTACCAGTATTGTACTTGAGTTTGGACAGTGTTGCCTCATTTGTATGGAGAATGTAAGCAGACATTATGAGAGACTGACTTTTCTGTGCTAAAATCTTTATGAATCTTTCCAAAGGAAAAATATACCTTGCTAAGTCTATACATGAAATCCATGATAACTTGTATAGCAAAGTAATACACAATAATTATTAACTAACAAAAAAGAGAACCTAAAGATTCAGACAGAAAAACACATGATCCTGGGGTAATCTGGGTATGATCCAGCAATGTTTTTTACCTAAACCAACTCACATTCTTATTTACCCCAGTTAAAACAGTAATGTTACTTACCCCTTTAGGCTGTTGTCTCCATAGGTTCTAACTCCTCTGAATACATTCACATTGCTACCTATGATATTGATGTCTATTGTAAAATATTTTTATAATCAGCATGAAAAAAAATCTGTATAATAAATGTTATGCAGCACAATGCATTGCAAAGGAAGATAAAAGCAGATGTTCTTCTATTTGCTTCAGTTGTAATTCAGGCATGAAGTTAAATTTGAAATTACATCATACCTTCCAGGGCAAATATTCTTTCTCCAAGTGCTTCAACAATAGTTACAAGAGCTAATTCATCTGAGACATTGAAAAAATGCTTTTCAGTAGGCTTACTGGCAATTGATTTTATTTCCTCTACAAATTTTTCAGTACTTAAATTTCCTCTGCTATAGCTGCCAAGAATCTAAAGAGAATTAAAAAAAAAAAAAACAAAGTCAAGGATACATTTCATAACCTATTTTAAAAGATACAGTTGAGGCAAGTTGTCAGAGAATACTGGCATGTTCTAGCATCTCTGCACATGGGAGCAATTCAAATCTGGTTCTAGATGGGGATTTCATTGCTAAAAATTACTACAGCTTCAAGGACAATGTTTTCTCCAGTGATCTGAAGGAAACCACTGAAAATCTGTGTGCTGCTGGATTCAACTTTTGGTTTATGTCTTTCTTTAAATTAAATATAACATCTTTCCTGAAGTCTTATGGTTTCATACACTTTATTGTACCAAAACAAAGAAAGAGAGCAATGGTGCGACAACAATCCAACGTACCTTCAAAATTAATGACAGAAAACAGATTATTTGAGTATAGAATACTCAAATGTAGTGGAGTTTCAACACAAATCTACCATTATTGCTTTCATATTTCTCAATACAGGTTAACCTCTGTCACGCTTATCTTCTCATTCTACTACTAAGGTTGCTAAACATGAAAATGACAGCTTTAGAATCCAGCACACAGTACAGTCACAATGAACTTGTGTTTTGCTGATGAGTTACATTTGCTGCCTTTTTTTTTTTAAATAGGTACACATGTCTATCGAAATTGCTTAGAATATTAAATTTGTCCACTCTCCTCAATATTGCTTTTAACAAAAGCATTTGATTTTAAACTATCCCTCAAACTCTTCCTGACACACCTGTCATCATTAGGAAGACAGAGAGATTGCTTTTCTTATATGCTATAAAATCAGAAAGCAAATTTTTAATGTTTTTTTAGTTTATTCTGTTTTTCCTCTCTGAAATAATTATGTTTCCATAAAGATTCTGTGAAATAAACTTCTATAACAGAAATTACATTTAGAAGATGAAACATGCTTTTAAGATTCTGAATTTTCCCATTAAATTTCACTTACAGCAATAGCAAATCTCTGAATGTTTTCATCTTCACAATCATCAATCACGTCTTGTAATCTGTAGTTGTCATGTGATTCCCCATCAGTAACAATAACCATTACTTTTTGTACTCCTCTTCGTGCACCATGAGCCTCTGTGAAAGCTTCTTTCCTAAAGAGAGCATAAAGCATTTTGGAGAAAGGCAATGTCAGCATTTCTCACATGCATCATATTTGCATAGGCAACCATAAACTAAAAGACTTTATATTAACTAAGAAGTGGGAAACAGAGATTAATATTAGCCATGAACAAATACAAACAACTGCAATTGGAACTTACATGGTGGTTCACAGCCAAAGTTTCAAAAGCATTCATCCATTATTCGCTCACTTGGGAGCAATAGCAGAAAACAAATAAAGTTCTGGCACCTTAAAACAGCTTTTGGCTTCTTAAAAAGGATCCAACCAACACTCCCCCCATTCCAAAAACCCATGCAGAAAAACCTCACCCAGACTCTGGACCTGACAAGGCAAGGCTAGATGACAGCTTTGGAGGAGAAAAATACCACAAAATTCTAAGACTGGCCATATGAGTGAAAGCTGAGATCTACCACTGAAGATGGCCAAAAGTGGATGGATAGGAAGATTGCAAGAACAGATTTGCTGACAGTTTCTCTATATACAAGCCTGCAGCTGTTTATGGTGCACAGGGGCTTTCTGAACTAGATATGGTTTCTGAGTACTTGGCAATTCTCAACTTGTTCTGCTTTCATGAACTTGTTCAGACTCGCTCAAGCTTCCACTTATATCTAAGGAAAACATTACTAGTGAATATATAAGAATTTTATTGGATTTAAGACATCATACCAACAAAACTGGTCTGATAATCAAGTAGGTCAGCAGAAGGATGCTGCACATTTCACTGAATGGTTATTTGGAAAGACTGAATGCAATCTTTTATGGAATAAAGTCATGTTGTCTTGATGGGAAAAAAAACAGAAACGAAAAAAGATAACAGGACAACATTGTACAGTTTGAAATTTTCTGAGAGATTTTGCATTTCCGATCTGTTCTATGAAAGTCAGATTTCATTTTTCTCATAAAGGAAGCATTTCTAAATATTGTTATTCCTACAACAGATCTTTAATCTCCCAATGATCCAGAAGCTGCAAAGACTTAGGATATAAAATTTCTAGTCTTTCTGACAAGTGTGGCCTCAAACATTGCAATAATCAACTTCAATGAAAACAAATTAGCATTAAAAAGTTCAATTTTTTAAATTTTTCCTCTGAAAGACCTGATTTCCTTCATCCCTCTACATACACAGTTCCTACCTGCTCCGTGTGGACATCAAATATTGTCAGCCCTTTCCTTAGGACGAAAACCTTGCTCCATGTCTATTCCTAATTCCTCCATTTAGGAGGCAGTGGCCTTTCAAAGGTGCCATCCAGCATCTAGAGCACAACTGCTCTAGATGCTGGAAAGAGTCTGTTTATCCAGCCGCCTCCTAAAAGATGTTTGCTTAGTTAAAATGAAGTCAGATGCTAGCCATATCATATTTCTAATATATGAAATGAGAATTGTCATGATATCTGTATGTTTGCTTGTCCCACATGCAGGACAATATCCTGTGAATGTACCTTGCCGTGTCTATTCCCAGGGCTGTCATAGTTTGCGTGCCACCTCGCTGGCGTATCCTTGTGGCTGCAGCCATAACATCTTCTGTTGTCGAGTATGTATTCAGGTAAAATTCATGGACTACAGTCTGTCCGTACTGAACAATTCCAACCTGAAACACACAGTTCATGTTAAAGATCAACTACAGTTAAAGGAAACATCTCTGACTCCTGAAGTGGGGTAAATGTCTGTCTGTACCAGCCAGGAAGAGAATTGAACTCTGTGTGTTTTCCTTAGTATGAAGCACCTATGTGTTTCAGCAAGACTGGCTAGCTGAACAGTCTCATGAAACATTTCAGAGTTTTCTAAATTGCATTTATTAAAAATTGGAATAAAGCCCAAAGCAGGCTCAACTCCTTGGTCTTCCTGGCTTGCTGTTATCTGTACGGAAACTCTGCTCTCCTCTAGGCAAAGGCGGACCAACGCCCCACCCACTGGTCAGAACTTCTCAAAATTGTTTTCCTTATAGCATGCAAGGTCATGGCTCACTCACAACTCTCTTCATTCCATTCAAATGTAATATTCCTACATCTGATAGTTTATTTACCCTAAACTTAGCCTAGAAACAGGAAGACTCAATTACCCTTATCTTGATGAAGACAGCAGGGACGTCCATGACATGGACGTTCTCCCAGCAGGAGGTAAGTCAAAGTATCACCTGGCAAGTACTAGAGGGGAAAACATGGACAAAATGGAATTTTGTGGCTTCTGGAAAGGGGAAGAGTAGTGTAAAGACTCTAGATGATCTTAGCAGGACAAGACTTTGTGCAAAAATCAACACACGGGATTGGAACCTAACAACAAAATGCCTGAGGGAACCTGCTGCAAAATCAAGTGTGAAATAAAAAGAGGAGCAATATTCTTAAATATTAATTAATTTTTCTCATTCATCTCTGTCAGTTTTAATATTTTGGCAAGTTCCTGACAGCTTTTACTGGGAAGAATCTACACAATGTTCCATTAGCATATTTCAATTTTATGTTACACTTGGCAATTTATAGGTGTTATTTAGGATAATGCAGTATTATGTGGCATTTATGTCTCACTCATCTATTATTAATAGCACTCTAGCATTTAGGTTCTGTAGATCAATAAGACCTCTGGGACGTTTTTGCCATCATCTTATTTTAGAAATGGTTTAGAATGTACTTTGCAATTGCTTTACAGTTGTGGGATTTTTTCAAGTACTTTCATAGCCTCTCAGATTCTTCACAATTTGTTTTTGCTTGTAGTAGAAGAGTTAGAGTTGGATAAATACTGAACACCAATATCATTATGAAATGCTAGTTACATGTGATTATAGTGGAGTGTGGTAGCAAAATCCCACTGTATCCTTTAGAAAATTTCTGTATCCTTTAGAAAATACAGCCAAATCTGGAAGAACTGATGTACGTTCAAAGTTACGACAAGTTGCTCCCTTTAAGATATTTAAATTGTTTCTTGGAGGTATGCCCTCTTCCACCTGCAGCTGAGAGAATGCAGAGGCTGCATGTTCTCCTGAGCAGCAGACCATTACCTCTGCACAATGTTTACAGAACTGGCCAGGGCACACTCTGTATTACCACTCAGAGCAGTCACGTGGCACAGACTAACCGCAAGACGAAGATGAAAATTTTAACCTGTTCCCTCCAACACAACTATTTTGTGGCGTGCACTTAAAGGGATATACAGCATTATCTGAATAGGATGCTGTTAGTCTTGTAAAAAGACTGCAGTTAACTGGCAAGAGGCTTTCATCATGTTTGGTCTTTTGGAGCAGGAGGAGTGGCTTAAGAATTCCAGTATCACGCACCAAGTGTAGACAGAGACTATTGTATGCTAGGGAGCCTGTCATGTGGATTCATTGGCTCCTTATCTGCAGCTTTGAGGATTTATTGGTATCAAAAATTGAATCATACATTGACTGCTGCCAGTGTGAAAAGTATCTGCCAGTCAGTCTTCCATGATACTAGAGACCCATATTGGTTTTGTCGTTTTCCTAAAATGATTGCAGGCTGACACTGAGTTGTATCATTTCCTATTTGAAAGGAAACATCTATGATCACAGCAAGTAAACATTTTGAGAACTTCCTTCTCAGGAAGTGAATGGGAAGAACATCTGAGTCTGAAACCTGAACCATGTTGCATAGCTTGTAAATCAGGAAGGAAAGGGGGCATGTGGTTATCTTATGGGATACAATTGTTATGTGGGACCCTTCCTTAGCACTAGCTTTGAAAACACGGATCATCATGTTCTATGTATTCCATGGCATCAAAGGTGAGGCATTCCTCAATAAAACGTAACAAAAAGCTCACCAGAACTCACAAAACGCTACAAGACTTCATGTTCCAGTCCCCTACAGGATCGCAGAATAAAGTCTACCTTGTAAAATTAGAACTATATTCTATTAGATAGCAATGAAGGTTTGAGCTTTTGCAGCCTTTTAATCTTACGGAAAACTACAAGTGACACATCCACATGATGCAAATGTGCCTATGTGGGACTTCAGCAAGCCCCTGAGAATGATACTTATAGGCATCATATGTTCTGATTTTCTTGTTTAATTTAAAATAATTTAAATCTAGAAAATGCAAGAGTACTGCACAGAAGGGTGTAATTCTACTCTCCTCTAGAGAACCTATTATTTTCCCAGCATTACTGACCATAATCTGTTGAACATCTTTGTAATTTTTAACTTTGTGTTCCCTTCCCTAGCATTCCATGGCTTTTACATTACACAAGGGAATAATTCTTTAATTGTCCCCAGTTCCTGTGAAAAGTGTTGTACAAGAGAACATGCAAGTGAAAGACTGTTCTACTTTGGGACAAAACAGTTCTAAGGGCAACAATTTATTGTTTATAAGTGAATACAGCCCCTTACTTGGAAAGCACATTCTGGCTTTCCTAATAAATTATTAAGCTAATTTATTTGGCAAAAAGTAACAACAACAGAAATAACAAAATGAAAGAAAAATCATTTAGTACATGAAATCATAAGATAAGATTTTCAACATTGGGATGTGGAGGAAAATCAGAAATATTTTTGGACATACCTTTATCTAACATAAAAGAAAAGGAGATATGCCTTCAGAAGCACTAATGGCTAATAGCTCTTATTATAAGAATATCTTTATAAAGATATCTGAACTGCAAAAAAAAATTAATTCATTTTCCCACATTTAGCTTACTTTAAGACAGAGGTTACTTATAAACTATTGCAAAGATCTTTCTTTATCCTGAGTCTTTATAATACCTCTCAAATATATGTCAGTTCTTCTGAAGACAAAACTAATTGTAAGATATGACATGGCATGACTTATTAATCTACTGATACAGTCCCTTTGGAGACATAATAAGGTACAGGCCAAACATCTATAACTACCTGTGTCATATATTAATGAAAAATAAAACCTGTCTGAAAATTTCTGAAGGCCATTTCAACATTGCTTAAAGCTGGAATTGAACTTATCAAAGTATTCTGCTTTCTCTACTGAGAGAAATCCACAGAAGGTTACTCATATATAAAGGATTAAAAAAAACCCCACGCCCTCATATTAAAAAGACAATTATCTCCACAAAAGTTAAAAAAGAGGAAAAAAGGACAGGTGAAATATTGTTATTTTCTTCCCATTAGTACCATTCTTTCTTTCATAATTTCTCCTTTCTTTTTTCACTTTTCTATCATCACTTTCCCTTTACTTTTTTTATCTCAAGGCCCAAGATATGCAGCTTAACCATCAGTATGATGTTGTAGATTATCTGGAGAAGGTAAAGAGGAAGAGAAGGAAATGCTTCTGCAAAAGAAAAATGCCATAAAATTTGGCTTTTTCATATGAAACTTTGGGCTTTCGCTTTCAAATCTGCCAAACATGGAACACCGAACAATTTCTCTCCTAACTTGTCACAAATCTAATGACCATTGTTCATGAAGGGGATAAGTAAAAAAAAAAAACAAAAAACAAAACCAAACATCTCACAAGCCTCTAATCAAAACAAGGTTTTGAACAAGTCACACCCAAGCTGCTACAGACTCATTCTGTAATCACCTCTTTCCTTTCCTGTGCAAAACAATCTTAAGTCAGTGAAAGTCCACTGGTTTCTACATGCTGAGCAATAAAAAATGAAAATGGAAAAATCAATTTAAACAGACAGAAAGTAAACTATTATTCCTGTGCTTCTATTCTGTGCTCTCAGAGAAGAGTATATAAATAAGCCTGCTCTGTTGTTTCTCTTCTTCCCCATTGTATAGTCATTTAAACACTTTTTCTGAGAAAGAAGACGTGTAGGTGGGGGAGAGAGTATAAACCTATTACTTTGGATATGCCTGGATTCCAAGCCGGGGGCTCAGAGGAGAGGAGAGAGATGAGATATGTTCTGGGGAAGGAGGAAGGTAAGAGGGACTGAGAAAATTCCACTCAGCCTTTGCCTTCCATTTCCAGTGTTTCAGTGTCTCTCCTCCTTATCCTATTCTTATCTCCCTCTTAAATTTTTCTGCTCTGTAGCAACCAAATGCCAAAGCTGACATTCTCAAGTGAATAAGTGTACGTGTGAGAAGAGGGGTAGCTATGCCAAACTGTGAGTACAATGGGTTTTGTAGGTGGAGATGTCAGGCTGCTGGAGTGCAGACCAGCAAAGCACCTTTTGTCCACAAGCTGAGCCACACAGATGAGGCAGCATTCCAAAACCAAATATAACAGAGGTGTGGCCATGTAAAAATTTAGGAATTGCTGGGTGAGGAAGAGGGCTTACGGTGCAGCAGAGTTGATTTCCCTGTGTACCACTCCCATGAAGGCCTTTGGGCAGAAGACAGTAATGATTTCCATGCAGCACTTGCCCCATACTGGGAAGTTCAGATTCAAGTATTTTAAGGTGGCACATGTTTGAGTGATCTTCAGTTTAAGGGACCAGGAAGAATTTTTCTTTTCTTTCTGTTAAATTTTACAAAGTGTTTTTCCTTTTCCTTACAATATCTGGAAGAAAAGTGTGTTTAAAATGACAGGACATGATTGTAAAGTTCACAGTTCATAAGTTACTTTATCGGCCAGTATTCAGCACAGCCAACAGAGGTGGCAACTTGAAAACCTCAATTAACATGAAAAATGGCAGGAATACTCTCTGCAGACAGAGATATTCTTTATGCCTTCTCACAGTCTCCTTTGTGAAGGCAGGAACTGAGTGTTAGGAGCTAACCTGAAGTTGCAAAAATGCAACATTGGCCTGCAGTATATCAAATGTTATACAGGGGTCTGGAAAATCCTTGATTTTGAGAGGTGGAAAATTGAGAAAGGGAAGAAACAGTGTCTTCTCTTGTTGTTAGTAAAAGTTTTATGCTAAAATGTATCCCAGAGTCCATGTTTCTCCCTTCCCAGAGTTCTCCTAGAACTGATATTTACATACTCTGTTTAGCAGTGAGACATATGCCAGATCCTCAGGGGGGTAATTGGTCGTAGCTCCATTAATTCTGATGGAACTGCACTGATTTATAGCAGCTGGGAATTTGGCTCTCTCCACTTATTATATAAATGCAGCTTCTGCCATTAATAACATGCAGCTTAACAGCCACTCATTAATAATGATTTCAAGGTTTAAAAGCTGTATGCCCAACATTCCACAGAGAATGCTGCTCCAAAAAACTTACAATCAAAGGCTGGCCAAACCACGTATGTGTGCCTCGGAAGAGCAGAAATAACCTTTGTGCTATGAAGTACAAAAGAAGACAAGAAGTGGCTGTGGAGAGGAAGGAAGTGGGAAAGGACAATGTTCAAACAGCCTCACTTAATGCACTTAACTTTTGTCTCTACATTAGAAAACTGGCTTCTCCAGACTGCCTGAGCCGTGAGGGGAGGGATGGTCTTCCTGACATTGCTACTCAGTGGCTGAGTACTGACTTAGTTGTGGTTTCAGCTATTTTACTTTAGTATTCTATTGCCGTAAGTTCTTGGAATTGAAGAGGTCCATAGATGACTCTTGTCCTATTTCCTGTAAATCCTTTTTTGACTCTCAAAAAACCCATAAAATAACTACTATGTTACCTGTGTTTGCTGAGGGCCTATATCCATGTTGTTCAGGAGGCTGTTTAGAAAGGCTGTGACACTCTCCCACGGATAAATGCTGTTAGACCCATCGAGGACTATGATGATGTCCAACTGGGTTTTACACTCTGCAACACAGATTGCCACATAAAAATTGACACTAACAAGGATCAGACATATCAAACAGCTACTTATTACTTTTGTAATTAGTAACAAATATATATCTTTCTGCAGTGGGGTTGAACTGGCGTATGTAATGCCAAGTATCATTCTTCAACTTTTGCATTGTATCTCATGTGATTTGTGTTTCCTTTATGAGAAAGGGGTTTTCTTGTAAGCAGAAATTTAAGACTGGGAGCAGAAGATCACATAACTGGAGCATTCAACAGTGACTCTCTACCTTCTTTAACATCAATCTGTTTCTCTACAGTTTTTCCAAAGGACTGGGTCTTTTAACATTTTTATGCATATTACTGAAGTGGGTTTGTATTAGGTCTCAACATGCTGTCATTATTTAAAAAGAGTCTTTTGGCCATAAGTTAAAAACATAAGCAACTATTTTTAGCAATTGTGTTTGGATGTTACATAGCACTGTAATGATTGTTTATACTGAGATAAATTCCAAAAGTAGGAACAATTTAGGTTATATACGGACAATGAAAACATTTACTTAACTTGGTAATGCTGGTAGCTAAGTTAAGCAGTTCAGGTTTTTTATATATGCATATGTGTATACATTTTTCTTGTTTGGCACTTTTTATTTTCGGACACACATGAGAATTCCTGTGGCATGCATACCTTGCACAGATGGAGCAATGGCCTCAATGGTTTCAAAAGTGGAGCTGACATTAGAGCAAACGCCAGTTGTGTAATGCAAACGTCCACATTTATAAGCATAAAGTGGTCCACATGCCTTTAAAAAACAAGAAAGGGTGAAATGTTTTTGTTATGATACCTGAGGAGAAAACAGATTTTTAAAATTGGCAAAAAGTCCTTTCTTACCAGAAACCCTCCTTTTGGGTTAGTCACTAAGGTTGTTCCAAGAGTCATGTTTTCTTTTACTTCCACAACATTAGGAACTGAAGTAGCAACTATAAATAGATTAAAATGTTAAGTATTTGGGAACATGAAAATAAAATGCTTAGGTATATATCCCCTAGTATGGAGCTTCCAGCTTCTAAAATAAAACCCAGACTGACAGTGGTTTCATCAAATATTTTAGCACCCTTCCTCCTCCTTTTTCAATTGCAACAATCAAGAAAAATTTCTGGGACTGGCTTTTATCCCAGAAAATTTGTCTGGATTGCTGTCTCACATAGTTTTCTCGAACTGCAAAATAAGAAAAAAAGTAAAAATAACAGCGTAATGAAAGCAAGATACTACTACTCAGTTTTGTTAATTAAAAAAACAAAATTCTTTTTTTTTACCTTGTGATAAATGACAACAGTTTTTATGTATGCTACTGTTATATTACATTATAGACATTTATGTTTTCAAGGGAAAATAAAAAATATCATGACAGGCATATTTAGTGAAATTCATATTAAAAGGAAGTCTCTTTCAGTCTACATCATGTATCTCTTGACACGAGCAAGGAAATTATTAATATTTACCCATGTTATATTAAGATGCATCAGCCTAGTGACATTTTCATCAAAAGCTTACTGATGGCATTATGAAGGCTCTTGTTGGCTTTGGAGAGCTTTGAAAAGGGTAATCCATGAAATTATGCTCCAAGGCCTTTCTGGCTCCATGGCCAGGACTGCCAACCACAGAGAATTAATGCCAGTCATAATAAAGTTTTGATAACATAATCACATGCCCATTCTAAAATTATGAGCATGTTTTCCATAGGACAGTGAAAAGCCTTAAAATAAAATAATTTTTAATGTTACAAACACAACTTCCTTCCCATTTAGCTCTGGAGTCCTACATGACTTTTCCATATAGAAATATTTCTAATGCATATTTACTATCTAAAAGTCTCCTAAGATCTGACCTCTGTTATTGCTCCATATGACACAGAGATATTTCCTTTAATACCTGGCAAGTTCAGTTTTATGCAGGGTGACTGGCTGTCCCTTCCTACAGGGCATTTGTAGACATCGCCTGTTCTTTTCTCAGGTTGGCCAACTAACGGTGAACCAATAAGTACCCTGCAAATGAAATAAGTTACTTCAAATTTCTTCTATCTTACAAGGCACAAAAGTCAGCAAACAAAACTTACAGGGAGAGCACAGCTGCAGCAGGCTCTGTACTAGTAGTATGGGATGGAGAACAAGAGAAGTATCTATTATCCTAGTTCATGTACAAGCAAAATAATAAGGATACAGAAAGGAAATAGGCAATATACCAAATTACAGCCTAGAATAACATTTTAAAAAAATTACAGTGAAAAATAAAAGCAATATTGATGGATGAATGACAAGTACTAGAAATAATACAGAAGGAAAGATCTGTTTTATTTAATATATCCTTGCTCTTTACATTATTTTAGATGAAAACTTCTTTTCAATGCTCAGAGACCACATGTCAAAGGATAGGCTCACAAGCACTCAGAAGAATTCAGTCTTAAATAATGTGAGGCAGCAGCATAAAATACATATTTTTCTCTCTCATTAATAAAAAATGTTATTATAAGAAATTTCAAATTTTTAAAATGCAGAGAAGCTGAGTGTGCCTGACATCCTATGGAAGGTGATCAGTGCTCATCAGGTTCATGTGCCTGTGCTGTTCCTTTCTCAGAAAGAAAGAGCCCTGTGAAGAGAGGTAAGTAGTCTGAAAGGCTGTTTTGTCTTTTTGCACGAGGGATTTTTTTATGCGATCCCAGTTTAACTGAGAAACCACCACAATCAGGTTCACAGACTGTTGCTGAAAAGCTCTATCTGTAGTATACAGGTAGCATTATAGAAGTTGAAAAAGCATCAAAAGGCTGTTTCATATATTTATTTTTAACTATCAACCAACAATTTTTCTGCTCTAGATGTAGATATGCTGAAAGCTTGACAATTTACAGTGGCTCTAGAGTTTAATTTCAGACCTTGCACACTAGTTCATATCACTGTCTTCCTTTGGCTACTGGTAGAGTCACTCTTTCCAGCTCATATTATTGTTTGGTTTTGAAATGTTTCAGGACAGTTTACAACAATACAGCTTACTTTGCAAAATCCAAGCTCCTAGAACGGATTCCCTTTCCCGAAGGTTTAAATTAACTCAAAGAAGGTCATTATTATTATTCTCTCATGACCCTCATGCAAATGTGTATTTAAACATCCTACAGTCTCAGCAATTGAGAACTAGGCTATTCAAAAGCAGGCTATGCAATTTCATGTCTGTGAACATTCCCTATGGCTAATGGTGAACACAGTGTTGCAGCAGTGGACAGACTCTGGGAGTCAGGCAGTTCTGGCACTTTCAGGGGAGATTGCTTGGGCACTGCAGAACAGTCCAAACTGGCTGTCGCTCCTGGCTGCCTGCAGGAGTCCCTGGCTTTACCAAGAATGTCAAATTACTGACAAAGCTCTGGGAAAACCAGAGCAATCTTCAAAGAATGATGGAGATCTCAGGTTTCCCAAACCTCTTACCATGCAATTGTTTTTTCAGTCCACCAGACCAGTCATCAGCCTGTGAAGCTTGTTTTAACAAGGGAAAAGCATAAGCAGGTGTTTATCAAAAGACCAAGAAGCAATGATATGAGTAAGCATGCCAAAACGCAACCTCCACTTGGAACAACAGGAAGGAAAAGAGAGCTTAAGATAAAGGCTCCAACTCCCAAATGCAAATATATTACCAGTTGCAAGACGTAATTAGCCCTCCAAAAGGGAAGGCTGAGGGAGTACTGTACTAGCAAATACTTTCCCACCAGTTAAAAAAACTCAGTTCAGACAACCTCTGACAGAAAACTTTAGAAAAAAATACGTTATACAGATTATTTTGGTAGAACAGGAGTAATTTCATGGCAAATACATTAACAGCAGGAAAAGGCAAAGACCTCATTTGGTAGATGATAAAAACAGGGCTCAGGCAAAACAGAGTACTTTCTCAGCTTCATCAGTGAGGGAATTTACCGCTTGTGTGAAGTTACTTATGTCTTTGAGGAGACAAATGGAGGTATGAATGTGTATCTTTTACTTTCCCAGTCTGTTCAGGTTTCCTCAGGTCTGTGCTTTAATTTAAGAAATATGACTGACAGAATCTGACCCTTACTTGAAAACAGAAGAATAGCACCTGAGTCAATGAATACCTCCTATTTTGGAGTGTTCATTTTAAAAAAAAGGAAAAGGGCTTACCATTTCCCTTCCTCATTTTCATACTGCTGGACTGTGTACCCAAACATGTCTTCCAGAGGCCCACTGAAGGTCATTGCATTTTTCACATCAACATTGGAAGTGTGGACAAGGTGAAAGAGAGCTTTAAAAAAGATATTATTTCAAAAAAATTAGCATGTAGCAATACATATAAACCCCAGCGCTTCTAAGGAATCAAGGTTCAATTAACCAAACGTACAAGATGGTTTGAAAGTGGCATTTGGGGCTATGTATCACAGTTACAGATATTTACATACTTCCTCATACATAGATACACAACTAAATTCAGAGACATTAGCAACTGGACTACTGTATCCAAAACATACTTTGCAAAGCTCATCACTCATTTTTAAATCAAAATTCAAACAACATTAAGTAAAACATTATTAAGATTAACATTATGTGTAAAATAACTTTTTAGTTATCTTTAATCCTTTTAGCTTCATTAATTTCCAATGTAAGAACTTTACACAAAATATTCATTCCCTCATTCAAGGTAGTAGTTCTCAAGGTTTCTTAAATTGAGAATTAACTAATTTTTAACTCTTTGCAGAAGACACATATAGGAAAAGAATAAGGAAAAGCCTTCAGATGTATTTAATCTATATTAGAGAAAAAAGTACATAGTTTTCTCTTAATTCTATTCTAGAGTACCTGTAAACTTTCTGTATTTGGAAAAGAATAGATTTTTAACGTAACGATATGCTGATATGTCCATAGTACTTATATAGGATTATTTACAGAGCTCCAACATTTATACACGTAGGATAAGTTGCTCTACAATGCTGATCTTGGACTACGATGAGGTAAGTCAAGAGAGCAAATGCTGCTTCTGACTGATTTCCCATACCCTAAAGTTCAGTGATCATCATCAAGGAAAATAATGTAAAAATATAACTATAAGCAAGCTTCAGAAAAATGTGGTATAGGGTAAAAATCCAGCTTGAAGTGATACCCACAACCCACTGCAAGGCTCCATAAGAAGCAAAAATTACTACTGATATATAAAAATAAAGCTATTTATCTTTTCTTCCTTTATTATTTCTTATAGTGATCTCTTCCATCTTTGTCCTGTAAGTTTCAAAAGCAACCACTGACTCTGCTGCTGCAAAGCTGTATATTTAATTTACAAGAGCCAAAAATTAGTTGAATTTGTAGAACATCAAGGCTTCTTAAAAACACAATTAAACATAAGTTTAATTTAATTTTAAAGAAGCATTTCCTGATCATTTGCTGACATTTAACCATTACATAAAAACACCCAAATCTATAAAGCTTGCTGCATGTCAAAGCATCTAAATAATGTGCAGTTACTAAAACACATCTGTTATTCACCACTGAATCAATGATAGTCTCATGGAAAGCTTGTTACTATAATTAAGCTCCCAAGTGGTCAATGCTAATCTGTCTCTCTCAGCATCTTATTTCCTGTTTAATGTAGTAAAATTATCACAGAAGACTATCTATCACTTAGTAGGCATTTCCAGTTTCACTGGACAGCAAAAAAAGGAAAAGTTTCATTTGTATTATTTTAGTTTTTCTTCCTCCAGTCAGAGTCAGGAAATATAAAGAAGTGAAAAAACTACACCAGAGATTACTTTTACTCTTCAGAAAAATATTTATTACAAGTGATAAGAAAAAATTAATGGTTGACAGTCTGATGGGAAACAGTTTGCTGGAAAATAAGATTTTGTTTCTCTTAAACATTTATGTTTAAAGAAATTCTACTATGCCTGCTCATGAGCAATAGCAGTTTTTCTCCCCTGGTCTCTGCCATCAAAGTACAATTAAAATGAAAAAAAAATAAATTTAGAAATTGAGGCAAGATATCGCCAGTTCAAATCTTCTTTTGTTAAATTTCAGAGTAAAACCAATTGCTATTATTACTTTTGACAAAATGTGAGGGATTCCGACCATGTCACTTGGACCCCCAACCTACTGTAGACAATGAAAGGTACTAATGAGATCACCTGCTAAAGTAACTAAGTTCATTAATTTGAAGAAGAAGGGTAATGCAAAATCTATCCATATTGACTTGCCTCTTAATGATTTCCAGACGCCTATTCACTTTAGTCCCCAAATAAGACTGACAGAACATCCTTCTAGAGGTCTTTAGAGGCATGTTTTTCCTCTTTCTCACCTTATGATGATGTTCAAAACATATTATTATATGAAATATTAAAGGTCACAAATTCCAGCTCATTTCTTCCCACTTACTTTCTCCTAAAGCAACCAAAAGTTACATGTGCACCTGTGCTCTGTTCACTCCACCATGATATCCTCCATCATTATTCCATCATCTGCTGATAGACAAGGAATTTCATCACAGTGATGCAGTATTGACAACTATTGTGATTTTTACTGCCTATTCATTACAGTAAATGGTGATGAAATTTGCTGAATTGGTTATGTGACATTCTCAAATCTCATCATTTTAATGCATCTGCTTCTAATCCTCGTAACTATAACAGACAGTTGAAAATACGAAATGCTGAAAGAACCAAACCAAAAGAGGAATAAAAAATGCCAGCTATCTGCTACTAACCACCCAAATCCTCATACTTCTGAGTGAGGTCAAATTGGAACCAACAATAACAGTGTCTTCTTCTAAAAAAGTAAAGCTAGAGAAACCAAAAGTAGCTAGATGGTCAGAAATAAAAAGGAGGGGGTGACTCCACGCAGCAGAACAGACCCATAGACCTTGTCGACAAAGAATGCTTTGGATGCTAAATGCAATGTGTTCAACGGGGAACTGAATAAATTAATGGAATATAAAACCACTGCAGGTTACACACCATACAGAATGCACATCTGGTTCAGGAAATCCCTGTAACTGGAAATACTTGGAAACTGGAAGAGGAATACTATATATGCTTGCTTAGTTCCTTTTCGTCTCTAGCTATTGGTTTACATGTACTCCTAGAAGCACAATATTGGACAAAATATGATCTTCATTTGATCCAGCATGGCTGTCCTTTTGCTCTCTCATCTTCTCCTTCTATCTTGGCCAGAAGTTAGAAGCTTTGAAGCTTGACTTCATACACAATCTGTGTGGCATATTTTAACACGTGAATATACTCCATGGCCTTCTGTGGCCTCCATGTGCTATGAAACATCATGAGCATAATGTTTTTGCATAAAAGTAAGGGTCACGATAAGCAGTGTAAGCATAATTTATGAATAGTTAGTAGATTTTAAAGGTAGCTTACTACATTTTCCATAGATCCTGTAAAAGGAAATCTTACAAATGTCTCAAAGAGACATTCAAATCTGCAGATGGTAAATGGAAAAGTGGAGTTCACGGTGACCTACGTAGCGCTGCTAACCAACAATAATCTACTGATTTATGGCAACCTGGCTTTCACATTTTATTTCATTTTTTAGTGCAGAGAACATTATACAAATGAGCTGCTTATTCAGAACATTTCAAAATATCAAGATTGTGGCCGTGAAAATTATATTAATAACAATATCTGGCCTGAACTCTTTCACACTTCCAGTTTCTGTCTAAGATGACATGCACTCTCTACTGTTTCTAACTAAGTTGCGCATATGAATTAAAAAGACTACTGGCAGAAGCAGTGGAAAAATGAGAGCTACAGGGAAGTTGCAGAGGATTCTTTCCAGAGTCACGGGTAGTAAGGAGAAAAAAACATTTTTTCATAAGGTACGTGGTATTTTACTTACTCACAATTAATGTAGGTAAATTAAATTAAGATTTTGAACTATTTCATGTTGTGTTAACAGAATGACTGTTAACACATCAGAAACAACTAATACAGGTCAGAAGTGCAGAATATAAATGTTTATCAAAGGTTAAAACTGAAATTACAGTTTTAATTTCATGTCCTACAAGAAAGAAGGCACTGCAGAAAACCTGGGACAATGTCCCTCCCACTGCTGATTTAAACTGAGAACATGAGCTGATGCATGTACCATTCTTTGCTTAGCACAGCTTGTACCTATACATGAAAGGTTAAACGTAACCAAGACAACAACGCAAATATTATTTCTATTACAAACCTAGAGTAGTAGCTCATACTTGTCCAGTAGCTACTAATAAAATTTTTTCTGTTTTACTTAACGAGTTCTTTTAGCTAAACGTTCACGCTGTCTGGATGGTTATTCTGCCTCTAAACCATACAAAACTAGATTTCTCTGGGACTTGTCCACAAGCATATTGGCTGACCACTCTAACCTTATAAACACAGAATTAGCACCCTTATTTTCCTAAAACGGATGGATATAAACGTAACGCAAAATGTAGAACAAAGCTGAACACCTGGCTCTTTATTGATGAAAAATACATCACCACAAATCACCCACAATAAATGACATCACAAAGATCCACTTAAACAAGAGATTAAGATGAGTTAGAATGTTTTATCTGTGTATGGCAGGTAGCAAATAACTATTGAATCCTCTATAAACAGAGGTTATCCTGACAAATAAAAATGCTTTCTTTCAAAAACAGGAAAGGACAAATTTACACTTAAGAATTGAACAGGGCTAACTCACTGGCTGTGCACTACTTCTCCCTGCCCAGCCTGTGGTCAAAAAGTTATTTTTGTTTCATTTCACACTTACTGCTATAGCATTTCAGTTGTCTTTATCAATTCATCTGCATTTTGCAAGAAGAGACTGAAACAAAGCAGGTCTAAGTGCAGTCAAGGAGGACACCAAAACAAGTAGAAATGTCTTGCAAAAGTATGTACAACTGGAAAATACTGGGAAATTAACAAAAAATTTAAAATTCAGACTGCTTTCATCCTGGGATATAAAAGAGGATAGAGAAATTTAAACTGAAGATTAAGATAAGATTAAAATGCTTTATGTAATTCTCATATACTTGGAACTCTTGCAAAATAAATTTAAAAAATTTTGCTTTAATGTTAGCACAGCACATATTACAACCAACGTTGCTATAAAGATGTTTTAAAGACATGCTAACAGCACGTGTGCAATACAGCAACAAGGAACTGTGCATCTGATCAAAATCTGAAAGCTAAGTTGTATTAGAAAAGATGTCCTAGTTTATAAAGCAATAACTGACTGCCTTTAAAAGTATTTTATGCTGATGTTGCAAAGACCACCTGTCTCTCA